TGCCTTACATGTAAAATATAAACCAAATGTATCAAGTAAGGATAAATTACCATCAAGCATGCTTTTCCTCTTTGCTGGCGTTGAACTAGTTAATGCACAAGTAATAAAATGTAACTCCCAAGCCATCTGCATGTGCATTATTATGCACAATATTGCAGGGGCAGTCTTAAATGGATTGGATTGGATGGATGCCGAGATTCAGATCCAAAACTCTGCTCTTTACAGAATTTCTGGCACCCACGTTGACATTGGCATTATCTACTGACAGAGCTACACAATTGATTCATGGATTGTGTTGAGCTGTAAGTACTCCATCCATTTTCCTAAAAATAGCTTCAGCAGTGCAGCAGTCAGTCAGACCCTTGTCAAGAAATCTGTGGATCACACCTTGAGGATGAATTACAACAACCACGTTGCAAATAATATATAGACTGATGTGCAACTTGTTACACATTACACATCTCCTTTTCACTTTCATTCATGCTGTCTGAAATACATAGTATGTTCATGTCTTTTCACATGTAGTCATGTCATACAGCATCATCAGGTTTGGCTATGCCCCTAACAACACTAGTTAGCAGAACTACCTCTTTAAAATATGATCGTCCAAGCCTACAACTTAATAGTCTTAAGGTTTCGCTTCCACTTATATCTGCCTATCTACTGCACTCCTATATTAATCTTCAGCTGGTGAGGATGCTGAATTTTTGCCTTGGACATTAGCTTTAGCCTCAATCTTTTAGCACAATATCATGTGTGTAAGCAATCAAAATGTAAAAGACCCCTTTTACAGAGTTTTGTGTTTTTGTCTATAACCAAGAATTCACAATTGTCACAACAACACTGAATCTGCCACGGTTATCATTGTAAACTAGGGTTGCCACCACTGTTGGGAGGGTTACTTTAAAATGTAATCTGATACAATTACTAATTGCTTGTTAAAAAATGTAATCAGTAACCTAATCCAAGTATCACAATATTAGAGTAACGTAACTTTTGGATAAACTCAACACCAAATATGCAAATAAAAACAAGAGAAAAGAAATGTTAACAAGAAGTATCGATGCAAGTGTATTCTATAAGACAAGAGAACAACCTTAGAAAAGGAAAGCTAAAGGAAATGAAAAGATTTTTAGCTTCAAAAAAGTGTCCTCTGCTCAGTGTATGTTTAAAGTAAACACTGATAAAATTGTAATCGTGCAAAATAACGCCAGTTTTTATAAAGTGTAACTGTAATCTGATTTATGTCTTTTTTCTGTCTTGTCTACTAGATTACAGTTTCCTTTTTTATACCCTGATTACTTAACTCAGTTATATGTAATCCTTTACACCCCAAGCCTGGTTGAATAAAGAAAAGTATTAAATCAGAATTTGTGGAAATTAATGACACTTCTAATGACAGACATGTAGTTGTTTGTCATTCAGTGTCATTGTTGGCCTGGTTACGGAGCGTCTGACATTTATCTTTAACAATTGTGGACGCCAATACCTCCAGCTCAAGTCCACCCATAAAAAGAAAGAGGCTGACTTAATACAGATCTGAATGACAGACAGACCACAACTGGATCAGTCCTGTCAGTGGGAATGAGTACAAAGCATACTGAAGCAACATTAAGCAGAAAACTACTATGTCCAAGCAGCCCAAGGCAGCAGCCACATAGTGGAGGTGGTATGGTTTACACTCAGCTGCAGGAGAGAGAGGGATGTGTGGGGAAGGCTTGTGCGAGCAGCGCCAGGTGAATTGATGATCTCAGCTGGTACTCATTGAGTAATCACACTCACCTCTGAGTTGGCCGACACACACAACAGAGATGACGACTGGAGCAAATTGTTGTGGACTTTTGTAGCGGGCTATAGGGGCCTCATATCAGCCAGAAAGCAGAGTTCAGAGTTATCAGTGTGTGCAGCTGACAAAAGAATAAAGTTGTGTTGATTATTAAGCTGTGATGCTTGGGAAAAAAAAAAAAAGGCTTAATTACATTCACTGTGATACAAATTTGAAACATGATCAATCCCCACGCCGTAACTTCCTGACCTTACCTTCCCTCAAAACTACAATTAGAAATTACTCTACTACAACCTTCATCAGGGCCTAATAGCAGCTCTGATGAATGGACACCATACCCCAGGCTCTGGAGATAATAAAGAGTCAGACCTATTCCTGGGACTAGCAGCCATCATGAACTCACAGGCCTGTTTCATTTTAATTAAGCTGAGGTCAGGAACATGAATTATACACTGCTTTATTCATCTTTGCACTCGCTATAAAAGTTTCATGAGAAACTCACGTATGATATTAGTGAAGCATCTGGACCACAGCAGCTTTTGTGGGTTTTTTTCTCTCTTTTTGGATGTGTGTCAAATAATCCGATCCAGTCATCCGATATGTGAAATATACATTATAATAGAGAAATGTCACTGAAACATCCCATGTTTCATAGCATCTCACCACAGATCTGACTGATTATTTATGGCATGCTAATGAATGCGTCCTGGACATGACATATAAACATGTGTTTGTTCTGTTTGTTGACTCATACCGTGGGACAAAAATGCAGAGCACAAAAAAGAAGCATTAAATGGCAGCTAGGGCAGTTACCATAACATTACAAGCTGTTGTTATTTCTATTACGATGCAGTTCACACGCACAGAGGACCCCCTTATGTTTAACAATTCAGTGTTTTAAACAACTTCAGACTTTGAGAGATGACACATTTGCATGTAATATATATATATATATATATATATATATATATATATGTATATGTACATGGACATGTAGAAGGAGCGACATCAGATGCAGATGAGTATGATGTTTTGTAACCATACTTTCTGGTTCATATGACGTGTTATTCTGTTCAAGGTTTTTCCATTAAATGTGAAGAGCCACTTGGGATCTTTTTAATCAAGAGACACAGAGAGAGAATACCAAGCAGGTCAAGCAATTTAATACTTATTTGACTAATTGACAGGACTTGTGTGGTATAAATAAAAAAATTAACTGCATGCTTTTATCATTTCCAGTGTGCTTTGTATGAACCATCGACTACTAATTTAGAAATCAGTGAATGTTTCTAACCTTGACAGCAGCATCCTCATTTACATCTATACTAATGAGCAAGATTTTTTTTTTTCTGATGTATGCGAGGAATGAAAAAGTGGTCGTTGTTTTGAACTGAAAAGTGGCTTCTTATGTGAAGAGCAATTTCGTACCTTCGGGGCACTGAAACCAGGAAGAACCATTTAGAGCTTGAACATGTATTATCTTAAAGGTTCAATGAATGGCTTTTTAAACACATGTATGTACAAGTATGAGTACGATGTTCACATACACAATACGAGTCTCTTTTCATCTGATCATAATTCAGTTTATTCATCAAAATTCGTATTTACAAGAAATGGTGATAACAAACCTTTTACAGCATGGTGTTTGTCATTTGTCATTTCATTTGAGATTTATAGCACGTTCAAAATATATGTAGCTTTACATGTTGAACCTTGAAACTAAATCTATTTTTGGTAGGTTAGGTCATCATTCCTAACAGTAATTTACAACATTTTAAAGCATTTGATTTTATTAATGAATTCTATAAAAAAAAAAGAAAACCTTAAAATATAAAGAAGACCATGGTGAGCTACTCATCACTCACATTTTATTAAACACATGCACTTCCATTGAGGTAATAGTTGTAGTGTTCTACCATCAGGACAACGCACTGAAAATATGTTAGGGGAAGCCCTTTTATTACGATATTATTCTCGGGTTGTAAAATAAATCCCTTGTAAATATTGTGTATGCGGCCATATAGTATTACTTATTCCAGTTTAATTACACAGCAAGTCTATTCCCACTATTAACACTATTACACAGAAAAAAAATGTCAGTGTCAATATTAAAACTGATGTGTAAAGTGTAAACAACAGTGTACATCATTTTTTGTTAGATGAAGGTCTCAGGCTCTGAACAGAAGCTGAAGGGCTCTGGATGATGAATAGACCTGGCTAATGTCAGTCCCTAGGTAACATTTGTCAGTTGTCCAGTTCTACTGTAAAGTTTTCTGTTCTTTTTTTCCTAGTGATAAAGCTTATGGGCTCATTTCTGTGCTCAGTAAATCAATAGTGAAACTCTAGCTCTCCAAATTTCTCCAATTTCTAGCTTAGGCTCCAAACGCAACCAAACTTATTTCATTTAACTGGCAAGATGCTGTAGATGTATTAAAGGAACTGCATACTGAACTCCACGTAGGATTTTACTAGTGTAGTATTTGTACATAGCTGAAGTGGTACTTTTGCTTAAGTAAAGCATTGTAATAGTAATTTATTTCTAGGTCAAATTTGTCTTCCTGTTTACCTACCGAGGTGCCTGGCGGAAATAATGATGCCATGACCTGTCAGCTGGGGATGGTGCACTGGTGGCTGCTGGTCATTCTATTAGCGTTAAAGGTCAGAGTTGAGTGGCTGCAGCCAGCTGCCAGACAGTCACTGATGAGGACAAACAGAGAGCACTTTGCAGCAGGATTTCTGGTGGATCTATCTGTGCATCTTGGTGAAAGCCAATTCACAAGAATGTCAAATTTAAATCTTCCATGTTGTGAGGTAGATGGCGTTCATTTTAGTCTGAAATATTAAAACATATGAAAGACACATTTCTGAAAGAATTGCCATATGGCAGGTTTTGCTCATGTTTCTCACGTAGCCTGAGCTATATGACATGTTCCAGCTAGAGAGACACCTGTAAATCACTGAACCATAATACAGCATTTGTCCTTGAGTAATGTCTTTCCACCCTTGTGTCTGTCACCTGGTTTTCCTAATGTTCCCGTTCTGCAAATGGAATATGAGGAGACTAGCAGGTGACATACAATGGAAAAATAAAATAAACTGCAGGCAAACAGAAGAGGACAAGAGTGCAAATAAAGGTTTCAGCTTTAAATCCAAAGGGACATTTTTCTAAACAAGACGGTGCTGTTGGGAAGACAAAAAGCAGACACATGAAAAGTCACAAGATCACAGCAGTTTATTTGGCAGCACCTCAGAGACAATCATTCCATAGGGCTCGAGAGAAAAAGTCTTTGAAAACGCAAACATGTTGTAAGATTTATCAGCAAGCATCTTCCTGCATATCTGGAATATCTATTACATGTCATTATCAAAGATACATTGGACAAAAAAAAAGGACCTGTACCAGGAAAGGTCCAATGGTATACAAGTTTTTGGATCTCTATTCAGATCTGTATATTATATCAAAATGAAAATAAAATCTGTCAAAGATCCAGTCTGTAATCTTATGCATACTGTCTGTATCTTTGACAATTACAAACATATCACTGCAGATAGTGTCGTATTTCTGTGCATTTATCCAGTGATATTATACAGTATACAGATGTAAAGTAGACTGCTGAATCACATTTAAAGGACATGATACATACAAACAATTACATATTTTCAGGATAAAACACATTTACATTTGAGTGAAACACTTTCACATCACGCATAGATTACTGAAAATGAGAGAATCATTACTCATAATTTCACAAGCTTAAATGTTACATAAGTCTTTTTGTCAAAAAAGATTACATGCAATCAAATACAACCTGCCTCTTAAATGCAAATGGTTTGTCCATTTCATGATTCTTACTCATTATAATTTGTATCTTTCTGACTAAATAACCTGATGCATATTGTGCTGCTGCTCCCAAAGAAATTACATTTTGTCAACAGTGAGGAGTCACATTTTATGCCACCATTAGTTTAACTGAGGCGAAGAGAGATTATCTGCTCCTTGCTTGGGTGATTGCAGGATTTAAAGGCAATTTGAAGGGCACGTTAGGTCAGGGCTAGAGAGTGGTGTCGCCTGTCGGAGGGCCCAGTAGATTATGATGGAACAGCTGCATACCTACTGCAGCCTAATGGTCAAAACATCATCTAACATGAATGCTAACCCAGCTTTTGGTACATTGCACTATTTATTGATTACGAAAAAACAAAGTCTAAAGCTATGCAAGGGGCTCACATGCTTTGAGCTAAATGCAAATGTCAGCATGCAAATATGCTCATGCCAGTGTGTTAACATTTTTGTATGTTAGCACTAAACACAAAGTACAAGTGATGCTGAGGGGAATGTCATTAGTTTTGCAGGTATTTGGTCATAAACCAAAGTATTCCACAAATTAAAAATTTCACCTGATGATGGTGCTAGGTGAAAAGTTAAAAAGGTCCAGTTTGAACATTTAGGAGGATTTATTGGCGGAAATGGTCGGCTCATGGTAGCGCTAGAGGAAAAGTCAGGGGCTCATCAAAGTCAGTAGGTTTCATCCTCTGGGGACGATGAATGTCTGTACAACATTTCATGGTATTTCATCCAGTAGCAAGATATTTCTCTCTGGACCAAAGTGGTGGATCTCTAGAAAAAAAAGTCTATAACAAGCTTTGAACATTTAAAAAAAGTATGTGTTATATAATCTTGACTTTATAGCAACTGTATCATAGTTTATGTTCCACTGTAATATCCCCATAAACCTTTCCTTGTGTCTGGTACTCTGCAGTGAGTTTCCACATGAAAACATTTCATTGGCTGTTAATTTCTACAATGTGGTCTCAATATACTGCTACTACAGGAACTCTGTTCTGCTATGATGTTTGTCCTCACACTTATTAGAGGTTTCCAGTAAGTCTTCCTCATGAGAGAGCTACAGTTTTGCACCACATTCACCGACCTGAGGTGAGAGAAGCGTTTGAGGCGTCAGTACTTTTATCTGCAGTCTGACAGGCTCTTGAGGCTGATGTACAGGGAGCTGACCATGGTGGCCTCCTCCTGGATGGACCCCTTCAGATCAGGCTGATCCACACACATCAGGGCCACCAGTCTCTTGGGCAGATTCCCGCTGAACATCAGGTAGATGCAGGGGTTCGCACAGCTGTTCAGACTGGCCAGCAGCATCAATATGGTGAAGGTTGCAGCTGGAAATGTAGAGGAGAAAATTAGAAAAAGATTCAACTGTAACTTTAATTCTTATATTTTGATCTGTTTTATTTGAGGAACAATTTCTAGCTATGGATATCAAATTTTGGAGTATCATCAGTTTGCCCTAATTGTCATCTCTACGAATAAAGAGCAATAGACTTGATTTATTGTACAATTTCTATGAAAATGTCCATGTTATCTTACTCTCAGTGGGCGCCTCGACGTCCCAGACCGACCAGAGCTGCACGGTGAAGAAAGGCGTCCAGCAGATGATGTAGGCGAGCACGATGACCATGGTCATCTTCACAGTCTTCACCCTCGCCTTGGACACCCCTGCCACGCTGCTGGCCCTGGAGGACAGCGGCTTACTGACCACCGCTCCGACGTGCTGCGTCTTCATGTGAAAGTTAAAGTGTACGGTGCGGCAGATGCGCACCTGGCACACGACCACCGTGAGAATGGGCAGGACAAATATCACCAGAGTCGTCCAGGTCACATACGCTCTCGGTCCCCACGGCTTGATAAACTGCGCCCAGCAGTCGTATACACCGGGGGCGACCTCAACCCGGGAGAAGATGAAGATCTGCGGGAGGCCGAAGATGAGAGAGACGCACCAGGCGGCGCACACCGGACCGTTCCAGCGCGCCCTGCGCTTCTGGAAAGTTACCATGGGGTTGCAGATGGCTTGATATCGGTCTATTGTCATCACTACTATCATATAAGTGGAGGCAAACATCCCGACCACCTGCAGGTACTTCACTATGCGACACAATACATCTGGACCGACGAATCTGTCAGTGATGTCCCACATGAGTTGCGGACAAACTTGGAAAAATGTGACCACCAGATCGGCGACGCAGAGGTGGAAAACAAAGACGCGCATCCTGGAGAGCTGCTTCCTCCGCTTCCACAACACCAACAAAACCCCAGAGTTTAGGATTCCTGCAATGATGAAGATGATGGACAGAAGAGCTATTTCCACCTGAGCCAAGCGCTCATCTCTCTGCACATCCCCAGGCAGAGCGCTTTCCAAAGTGGAGTTACTGATGTTTACACCGAACCAATCCATGCTTTCACCGCAAATAACGCCAATACACCGTTATATAACCATTCCAGGTGAATCTAGCTGAAATGGCAAATACAGATAAATGTAAGCAGGCAGCCTGGAATTCGTCCTTTAACAATTTCATCAAAAAATAACTCCTTAAAAGAAATCGTTGGGGCGCTGTATTTGCCGAGTTCCCGGTAAGCAAGAAGTGTTGAATGTGTCCACTGAGGTGTTAGTAAAGGAGAGGGAGAGGGCTTTATATCTCCTCATCCCTGAAGGAGGGAGGAGCAACCTCACTCCAGCACAGAACCCATTCCTCACAGTGCCAAAGGCATGGAAGTGTGATGAATGATGAATTTAAATAAATATGTTTGTATTCTGCAGTGTGTGCACTTGAATGGAAGAATCACCAGGTCAGTCTTTCAATGAAAAGTATAACCTTTTTATAAATCATTTTCTTTACAGAAAACATAGCAAGGAAATAATACACAGCTGACAGGAGCAAACCAAAACCATGAAAAACCAAACTTCTGCTTTCCAATATTGTTATAACAATGAAATTAAAGACCCCCCCCCCATGTATTAAGACATATATACAAATAGCCTGCCTGAAGAAATCCTTCTACTACCTCACTAAAAATTCCAGAATCGATAAATATTCAAAATTCAATCATTTCTAAAGTTTCCCTGCTGCACACAAGATGTCTCCTCCTTCACTGTAAAGTCTATTCTCAGTGGATGTGCACTGAAGGCTTCAAATTTCTACATCACACTGTCGAAGTTGCATATTGGACCAGGACTGACCTCCAAATCATTTGTGATGTCACAAACCATGCTCATAGGCGCAGCTCCCTAAAATCTAATTTTTGGTTAACACAGAAACTTTCAGCAGAGGTAAGTGGAAAATATCCTTCTGGAGTCAAACTCTGCACAGACATCATTCTGCACAGTGAAGATATTTAACTATTGAAGTAACTATTCTCTAGTTACTGGTGACTTCATCCCTTCAGCCCTGTCTTCATGTTTCTTCTTCCTTAATCACATCAGTATAACTAGTGACAGTCTCTGAGTGTTGTTGATGTCTCTTCATTCATGTGGCGAAGCAGGTGAACTTAAGTGGCCTTGGGGTAATTTAGAATTCAATTGCATTCATACATACGTGTCTGTTCTTGTAGTGTCCTTTTTTCAACAACATGCATCAGTCAGCTCAATTAGTACCTGTGAGCAGCACAGTGTCAGAGCAGCACACCCCTGCCTTTTCTGCTCATTTAAGGCTTCACGTAACTGAGGAGTTCATCTTTGTCCATCTGATAACGACTTGTCTTCCAGATGTCACGCAGCTTCTGTAAAGTGGCACCTATCTCCTTGCCTGACGTGATACCCATCCTCCTCAGATCGTGACCATTGACAGGGAAGCGAGGGGTGGACCACCTGCAGAGCTCCTTCAGCAGCTTCTCCTCACCCTGGTACTTCAGTAACTCACACACTTTACTCTGGGAATCCAGCTCCCGATTCTGAAAAGATAAAATATGTGTGTGAATTAAATACCTTGAAAACTTGGTTTCAGATCTTAAGTGTTCCATGACTAGATAAACAAAGTTAAAGTTAACATTTACACAGTTAGCTGATCTGCTTCATCAAAACTGTGTGGGTGTGGCCTAAAATCAGAAATTAAGGGAAGTTAAATGTAAAGGTTTGCCAATCAATGACTCCCAGAATGTTCTAGTAATTGCTTGTTCCTAATAATACAAGAGAGCAGGGATCATTATTTAATTAAGAGATGTGTTAGACTCACTCACTTTGAACCAGATCAATTTTCTATTTGGCTTATCAGAACCCAATCCTAGTTGGTCAATACAAACATTTCCAAGAATGTCTTTTCGCTATAAAACCCTATTAGTATGGGTGGGAACAGGTTGCATTCAGATGTGGGTGATGGATGCAGGTGGACCACTGTCCAGCAAGACCAAGGAGATGTGTTAAAGGGTACAATCCCTGCATTCAAAGAAGCTCTGGAACCACAATTATTTGATGGTGATTATTTTACTTGATTAATCAATTAATTAATCAATTATTTTTTTTTATGATCACATTTACCCAGAGCAGACGACATCTGCAAATTGCTGGTTTTGTTTGATCCACAGTCCAAAACCAGTGGAATCAGTTTACTATTGTAGAAGCAGATTAATATTCTGTTGATCATTTTAGCTCTAATTCAAAGCATATCTCAACGCATGAGTGAACTTAGCAGTCACCGAACACTTGTGGGTAGTTTTTAAACAGGGATTTCTCACTGCATTACAGATGTCCACCCATTCAGCTTCAGAATAAGTAAGCTAATTAAGCTCTTGTAGGTAATCCCTAGCTACATTCACTGACACATAATACATTCTGATGAATTATCCCACCTGCCAAGAACATGGTATATACACTCCTGGCTAAAATCAATGATCACATTGTTCTGGTAAGTGTCCCACTATAAATCTCTCTTTCCCCACTATAAAACACAACTGACATCTAATTGTTTCTACAGACCAGCTGGAAAAAGGCTTAAACTTACATCAATGATAAAGTCAGTGAAGGGTTTGAGGCTATCTGGGTCATCTTGGCTCTTGCGGAGCTCCCGTCTGAATTTGACCAGGAACAGAGCCAGATTCTTCTCCTCCCTGGACACCTTAAGTCGGAGGTCCATCTTTTCCACCTCCTCTGGGCAGTGGAAGAGAGCTGCCAGGATGGTCATGGGTTTGGGTGAGTGATCTTTGGCATTCTGCCACACTCGCTTCATCTCCTCAACATTGCCATCTGGAGGTATGCCTGGGGAGGAGCAGAGATAGGAGTCATGAGCAGAACTGACTTTAACAACAGCAACAGAAACTAAACAAGACAAAGAACACAATAATTACATGTGTTATGATTATAATCTATTTCATTGGGATTATGCAGACAACATGCCTGAAGTCTTCTGCGATTAATAAATAACCTGAGGAGTTAAATAATCAAGAGCCATTCAATCTGTCGAGTGGTGACTAACTAGGTGTTCAGTGCCACAGAAATCAAGAGGTATTGAATCCACTCCATCTCCAATCTAATTTTTCCCCATTTAGAAACAGCTGCAAATTGTTACAGTTGTTGAGCTTCGACGCTATTGATCCTTTTCACTGATGCCTGCACTCTGCAAATAATGACTTAATAGCATGGTACATGTTCGCTCAGAACACTTTCAAAAAGGTATCTCGACAAGAAGGAAAAAATGTTCTAACAAGTGGGAATGTTCTCACCAAAGTGGGCAACAAGGAAAATTGCAACATTACACTTATAACAGTTATCTTAGACAGCGGTGACAGTCCAGTCAGTATGAGCGCATAAATCTCAGGAAAAATCTGATGGTAAAAACCTAATGCTGACATCTGAGCCTTAACAGACGTGTAAATAAGAAGATAATATTTAAAGTTACCTAGTTAAATCAGTTTAAATGTCATTAGTCAGACTCAAGCTACAACTAATCCAAGAGCACTTGCGACTGTCAACATTAACAAAGATTCTGTATGCTCTTTTAAAAGCATTCATGACAAAAGTGTTCTATTTTGACGAACAGAGTCAGGATATCTTGGCCAATGCTGCTCCGATTTGTCCCCCAACTTACGGAACTGAAATACTAAATGGCTGGAGTACTCCTTTAAGAATGGGACCAATAAACAGAATTACCAATTGTGTCAGAACTGATGAAATCCTGTCAAGAGAAATAATTAAAAAGGGCACTCTGAACGCCCCAATGATTGATTATCAATGTTTTCTTCACGAAAAATTCACTAAAACCTATTCTCCCTCTAATGGAAGTCATGACATTGATGTGAGTAATGACTTGAATATCATCAGGAGGTGAAAGATACACAATTATGTGTGATATATATATATATATATATATATATAAAAATTGATAATATAAAGCAGTATCTTTGAGGCACACTGAACACACTGTTGAAGCTGAATGTGCAGATTGTTTTTTCTTGCTGAAGTTTGTGTGATTGCTATTAGAGAAATTATATGTAAAATCCTTTCAATGCCCATCCCTGCCTTCTCTCTCACCTATGTACTGGGCCAATTCCAGACTGTACATCAGCTCCAGCAGATGAGCTGCATGGTTACCAACCACCATCTTCTTTATTTCCACCCAAATGCGTTCTCCCGATATGGCCGCTAGTCCACGCCCATTTTCCCTGATGGCGGCCAGTGTCTCGGGCTCATGGTCGTCAGGCTCCAAAGCCACTCTGCCATAGAACCTAGGGAGAAATGAAACGGTTGTGGCTTCTTTCATATAATATTCTTCCATAAAACGTTTTCTCCAAGTAAAAAAGAAAAAAAAATGTGAAATGTGGTGGCTCACCTGAAATAGCGCAGTATTCTCAGGTAGTCCTCTTGGATTCTTTGTTCAGCACTGCCAACAAACCGAACTTTACGGTTCTGCAGGTCATCATATCCTTTGAAATAGTCATATAATGTGCCATCAAGCCCTGTGATGGGGAAAAAGTAAACGAAACGTGGTAAATCTTGGTAATTTTGGTTGAGTGTACATAATACAATTAGTGACATGTCCCCTGAATACACCGGGACTGATGCTGAGCATCCCCACAACACAAGCAAACACAGAGATAAGCCATTATGATTCTACAACATAGTTTAATTCAGTGGATGGCAATCACACCAGTACCTAAAAACATGGAGTTGATGGTGAGGTCTCTCCGCTCAGCGTCTTTCTGCCAGTCAGTGGTGAATTCCACCTCTGCGTGACGGCCATCTGTCTGAACATCCACTCGCAACGTGGTCACCTCAAAGTTCTCATTGTGTAGCTATGAAAGAAACCAATAAACACAGATGACTAGAGGCACAGCGAAGACCGTCTTTACAGCCTGTTCAAACAGGTCAGCCTCTTACTCTTGCTGTAATGGTCCCATGCTTCTCTCCTTTATTGTTGATCATCCTGATCCCAGCACTTTGGAACATACGCTTCATCTCCTCTGGAGTGGCTGTGGTGGCAAAGTCCACATCTTCTGGCCGCTTCCCAGACAGCAGGTCACGCACAGCACCTCCAGCTATCCTAAGCTCATGCTGGTGCTTCTCAAACACCTCTGAAAGAACAAACATACTAATTCATATTCTGATTGCAGTTTTCACAATGATATGACCGCCTCCAGAACAGCTTTGGAAATGTGCTTTAGGCTAAAGAGTGTCGACCAGGCCCACAGCGTGTGTGTTGTCATATTAAAATGGTGATGATTAAAAAAACTCCCAGTTAAAATTGGAGGTGCAGAGTGTAAAAGACATGTATAGCTACCACTCTAACAAAACTATTTTATTGGTTGTGTTGTGGGAAATGTAGGATCCAGCATTTGTTGGCAATTGCCCCATACTAGGGACTAAGAGTCTGAATATTTTTGCCTCTGATGCATCTATTTGGCTGTTCATTTTTAAATCTTACTGGCCCAATAACTTTGAAAACAGGAAAATGGTAGAGCTTTATCAAAAACAATAATTAGGACTAAACAGCCTCTAGGATGTGCTGACGTATTGATAGCTACTAGTTACAGAAATTACCAAGACAGTCAAAAAATTAACATGTCAGTGCTTTTGGCATCCTGATTGTCCATACTGCAATTAATCTACTGCAAGTCTGTCCACATTGGAAGAGGGATCCCTCCTTTCCTTAAAAATAAACTATTTTTTAAAACAGAATTTGTGTATTGTTCAACATATATGTTGATACCGATTTACAGTACCTGCAGTGAGCTTTATATCATCCCAGACAGTTAATCGTTCTTGTATCAAGCATTCATAACATATTTTATTTTGAAATCATTAACACATCTATGAACTTTCCTGCTTCCTCTCAAACTTTTAAAGTTGTTGTTGGAAATGCGCTCTCATTTTTAAACTACCTTTACTGACCACAACTGGCAGGTGTCTGTATCTCACCTGCTAGTCCATTCAGTCCATCATTGAACAGAGACTGGAACTCACTGGTCTTCAGCCGCATAGTGAAGATACTCCTCCAATAGAAACCTGTTCTACTAATCACACGAGGACTCAATATTCTGCTCCACATCTGTACAAACAACAAAAACATTGTCATGTGCTTCTGTTTGTTTGTTTGTTTGGTAGCGTGTACAGAGCTAGCTAACCTTACACGTCATTGAAGTCATGCTCGCGAGCTTTGGCGGTCCGCGTGCACTGTCACAGTCACACTGTTCACACACATTGCCAGCACGTGAGCAACATCTACATGTCAATATAAACAAACCAAACATCACAGACAGAACTGACCTGACGCCTCAACAGAAGAGCTTACGAACAGACGCCGTCGTTGTCGCTTCACGCTGTCTACCGTAAAGATTAACAGGAAGTGCTCCCACAATGTGCGCTTGCTGACCAATGGCGCGAGGTTTCGTCAGACTCACGAGGCGGCGCTTAAGAGAGCGAGCTGCCACTAGGCTTCTCGCGAGACTCTTGTTCGTAGCTTCAGGCGATCTTCAGCTGTTGCTGTTGCGCTTGTGATGCTGTTACACACTCCCATACAGTAGGAGGCGGTATGCACCTTTAACGTCGGCTTGTAGCCCACCAGAAAACTACAGAGGAAGAAGAAGAAGAAGAAGAAGAAGAAGAAGTTGCTGTTGTGCTGTCAGATTAAACAGAGCAAGAGCCAAATGGCTAAAGTGGAGCTGACACCGTTCAGACCATGGGACGACTTCTTCCCCGGAGCGGAAAGATTCGCTAAACCAGACACGAAAGATTTAGCGAAATGGAACAACAGAGTTGTCAGCAACCTGCTTTATTATCAGACAAATTATTTGGCTATGGCCATCGTTGTTTTCCTCATTGTCGGGTAAGTTACATATTGTAATGGCATCAGTACAGTTAGCGGTTTAGTGGTCGTTAGTTCACAGCTAAATTGTGTTCGTCACCTTTTCTGTCTTTATTTATATATATTTTTGCCCTTTTAGCGTAAACTAATGTAGCCTACTGTAAACGGATTTAAAATGAGGGTTTGAACAGGATGTGGACTGGGAGGAGACCGAGTCCCATAAGAATGAATGGGAGTATATTGTTCCAGCTGACATGTGAGGGACTGTTCCTGTAATGTTCTCAGTTTGTGCCTCTCGTACAGGAATACAATGTGACTTATTCGTTGGTCATTAATATAAATGATAAACATGATGACTTGAGGATCACATGATGCACTCTGTTGGCAACAGGCTGAAATGGAGAGAGAAAAGAAGAGTCTGGAACCAGTGTTGGAGCTCTGACTCACACAGTACATGAACCAAAATCAAGATTTCCAAATACCCTGACAGTACAAGCACATACCTAACTATTGCAGACTGCCCTCAGAGCTGGCCTATTATCTGACATCTCCATACAAGGTAGATTCAATCAGATCACGGAACAAGACTTTCAAGGAAATATCTTGGCTTTGGTTGGCACTTTGCTCCAGCTAAAGCCTGGCTTACTATAAATAGTGATGCCCTGTCATGGTCTGTCCACTGAGCTGTATGATGACATATTGTTGCTATGGTCATGAAGGCCTCATAAGCCGTTTGTCTAGTCAGCTGTTGCACTGCAGATAGCACAGTTGTGAAAAAGCAGCAGCTTTTTGAGCTGCCGCTGTACCCCTGCTTAGGAAGATAATCTAGTATTGGAGAATTTCTCATTGAGTCGATCCTGAGTCATGACCCTAAACCAACGAGGCTGGCACATTCAGCTTACTTGTTTTGTAAAAACATTATTATGCTATTTTTATCCAGTTTCGAAACAGCTCAAGCATGCGCTTTTGCATGAACATCATTTGCAGTGCCAAAAGTGTTCAGGGCGTGTGTGAGTGAACTCATTTTGTTATTGCACATCAATCCACACATGGTTACACATAATTATTCATAGACGTATCATTCATTTTCACACATATGTTACTGTTTTATATAGTTGCTTTCTGGGTTTCCTCATATAGTTCTCCTTCACACAGCTGTAACATAGAAAGCATGGTTTCAGGCACTGAGTGCAGAAGAAGTAAACTCTGTTCCTGCTGTGTGTTACCCTCGCAGTGTGTGTCTGTGTGTGATATACAGGGGAACAAAACCTTTGACTTTATAATCAATACGAAGTCACACTGCTGTACGTCATAACAAATGGAGGCAGAGAAAGTGTGAAATGCGATAGGGGATGTGAGGTGAGAGATCCTATGAAGAGCAACAGTTGTTCCAGTGACATTTGATGATGTGGGAGGGTCCGTCAGCGGTTCAGGAGAGGTTTCAAGCCCATCCAAGTATATCAGTATTCTAAAATGGTCACCATTTCACAGTGCAAGTGAGGATATTCATTCTGGTTTGTTTGTTTGTTTGTTTACAAAGATAGCTGGAGTCCCGTTGCCATGGTAACTAACGCTGCCAGCCAAAGTTAAAGGGGCAGGTTTTGTTCAGGATTAGAGTGGCGTCCATACCAATCAAACAGTGGAAAGACTTTGCATTCTGTGACAATATATTATATTGAAAATACAGAAAGTGTTGTAAAGTGCTGTAAAACATGGCTTCCAGGACCGTATCAGTTCATCAGTAATACATTGAATTTACAATTGAATATTATGAGGTAGAGTCTGGCTGATATTATCTTATATCACTGACATATTAATGTCAGCACATATGTCAGACCATAAATAATAAGAAATAGCAGTATAGAAATAGATATTTCTGAGATCATTTGTAAAGACCACGCCATTGCATAGTTTGTCCACCAGAGGGCGGTGGCAGGTTTATTTTTCAATTGCAAAGTGTCCTGCTCAGTGCATCTTCGTAAAAAATGTAGGTGATCTTTATCAAAAATGTTTGTGTATAGTATGTATTTATGTTAAAAAATAAATAATATTGGTCAAAATATTGTTATCGAATTTTTTTTTACACTCAAATACACACTCAACTTTGGAAATTGTCAAGTTCTATTATGAGGCAACTTTTAGATCGGAAATGTTTTTATAAACTCAATATTATAATCCTAAACACAAGAAAGGTACACTGTTTCCTAATGGCAGGAAGTGATAACTTTAAAAGGGGAGAATGTAATTGCTTTATTCATGCTACAGTTTTATCACATACGTCTTCATTGAGCCTTTTTCTTTTTTTGCTCAGTTTTGTGAGGACCTGTAATCCAGGATCACCAATATGTGTAAAGCCAAATACTCCAAAGAGAGCCTGAGTAAGTGAGACAGGACCTCGGTCACACTCAGTGAGGTCATGGACTTGGCCTGATGTAGCCACTGTAGCGGTGCCAGGGGTGGATTTGTCACAAAGCTTTTCTGTCCAAGGTGCCTGGCCAGGGAGAAACTGTAGGTGTGATGTAGATGAAAACCTATGTGCTGAACTAAGTGACTGCTTGAGCTGCAAATATAGTGCCTACAATATATGGTTCATATTCATTTTTCACACAGGAGAAGGTAGAACGAGATATTGTTTGATATCTGAAAAAATGACTATAACAATTAATTTGTTGTCATAAAAGCTGCAGATCGATTGACTTTTGGACTAATCGACTTTTGTGTTATCAGCATTTTTCTTTTTGCTATCTTTGAAGAGTTTTTTTCTTTTAGCCATCATACATTTTGAGCATTAATATGCTTTTTTGCAAACTCAACATTTTTTAGTTTGTGTCATCTATTGTCAAAGGTAATAGTATTATTTTTTGTTAAAGTTACATCCAAATAATGGATCAAAAGTATTCATTTCAAATGGACACAATATTATAATCTGTGCTCCTATACTATTATTATAGCATGTTGGTCATGTTGTTGTACAGACTACTTCTACCCACTTGGGGGAGCCAGTGACTACACACACCAGATCGACCTGTGCTCCAGTTGTAGTTTTAAACTGACCTATCTGTGTTGCTGCCCTGCAGGTTCCTGAACCCCCTGGGGATGTTCACAGCCATGGCCGTGGTGTCGGGCGTCTTCATGGGTTCAGTGTGGGCCGGAGAGAACAGAGCTGTGATCAGCAACTTCAAGAAGCACAATCCCACAGCGTTTGTGATCGCCATCATGGTCGCCAGCTACGTTGTAATCTCTATGCTGGGGAGCGTCATGGTGTTTATGACTGCAATCACTTTACCTCTGGCTTGTAAGTTCAAGATGATAATGTTGGATAGTGACAGTGTAATGATCAGTGCGTTATGAAAGTTTAGGCAATGCAATTCAAAATCAGTGAAACATGTTTTGGAGTGAACCCTCTCAGATTCTCAAAGACTGATGTTATTATAGTTTGACTTGAACAAAGGTTTATAGGTTTGTTATTGCCAAACGTTCTCCCATCTGCTTTTCAGTGATATTTGCACATGCTTCATTTCGCCTCCGCAACATGAAGAATAAACTGGAGAACAAGATCGAAGGAGCCGGACTGAAGAGGTCACCCATGGGCATCTTGCTGGAGGCTCTGGGTCAGCAAGAGGAAAACTTTCAAAAGATCCAGAGCTTTCTGGAGGGAAAACTGAAGGAGTGATTGGGCTTGGACAAGGAGCACACACCTCTGGCCAAAGATCTTGAATTTTTCTTTTGGATGTAACACAATTCTGTAGATCTCAATCTAGACCTCTTGGAGTTTGTTTCCTATACAGTGTGTTTACCTGTGTGTGTTTTGAAAAGAAGGCCTGTAATCTGAAGGGCTTATCTTTACCTCAGGGTGTCTGTCATTCCCAGAACTTGTCAGGGCACTTTTCTGACAAACACATGGGGGCATCTCAGCTCTGCCTCACATCTCTGCTATGCAATGTGTCAGTGTTCCTGTGCAGCACAGCTGCAGACTCCTTCCTAGGTATTACATCTGTGTTTAATCAGTCTCTGAAACAGCCGTTATTCCTGCCAGTTTACACACGACTAAAATTGTGAAAGTGTTGCTTTGTAACAAAGAATTAAAAAAGTGCACACTCAACACACATCCCTGCCAAGTTACTCTGCAGGCCGGTTTTTGAATAATGTCTCCTAGCATAAAATCTAACAGTTTACTTTAGTACACATTTAAATATAAACCAGCCAACCTTATGTTTATGCAAATAAAAAGAGCAGGACAAAAGAGAAAGCGCCACTTTGTCTTGAGCTTTGAAATACTTGTGACTCCAAATCCTGACGCAGATCACAGTGTCAATATTTAAAATGAAGACTTCAAAGGAGTGTGAGGTCCTAACCCATGCCCATCAGTATTCCTCCTGCACATCTCGACTGTTTAATCTTGACAGTGCCCCCTGGGTGATGGATTGGCTAACTTTGCTTTCCTTTCCACTTACCCCCAATGCTAATCAATAGGCTGCAGTAGATTATAGTGTGGAGAGCTGAGCGCTGCACAGTGACGGAGTGGATTCATCTGCAGTCACCTCCAATCCCGAGTTAGTCGCTGTGTCAGCTACTTCAGATGTTTTTTTTATTATTGGATTCCATTTGAAATTGACTGCAGATAATGAGAACCCATCTGGAACATAATGCTCCGTTATTTGGTCGTTAAGTGGCAGCGTGTAAGGATTGGGGGAAACATGAAGATAAGAATGATGGGCATTACAAAGAGTAATCACTTCAGAGGGCTGGTGTTTCATAGTGTTCGTGTTAACCCTTTGCTTTCCAAACGATGGAAATCCATTTCAGGCAGCATCATTTCTTTGGGAGGAATGCATGGCATTTGTTGAAATGATGACCTCTGCACACTCAGGTGTAATAGTATTCCAGTGGCTCTCCAGTTTAACTTTGACTCTAGCTGCAGGGCTCTCCCCCTCTGTGCTACAGTAGTGATTTATGTCCTTTCCCGCGGTGCCTCATCTCCATCCACATTGTGCAACTTGGAGGAGTGAACACCAGCGCTGGTGGCAATAAACTCAAAAATAAAGTCATGTCTCCCAGAGCACAGTGGAGGCTGTTGTTCTTGCTGCTGCAGCTGCTGTGGGGATCCCACCAACACATGTGTAAGCTGCTGCACCCCCAACAGGTGTGCGTCTTTGGTGTTTTCTCCTCGACACACGTGTAATCCAGGAGAGGAAGTGCAGTTGCACTGTACAAAACAACACTTATCCTTTCTTGGGTTTTTTTCTTTTTTTGCATGCACGCATCAACAACACTTGACTAACTTGTAATTTTGAAACAACCATAATTGCTTCCAAAGATAATCTTCAGTGAGGCAACAGAAGTCAGAGGATGTGACACAAAAGCAAACCTGTGTACTGTTTTTGCACCAGCTGCTAAGTAACAACGCTGTTCTCCCTGTGCAGGCTTTTGACTTTCAACATCTGCCTCCTGTTTAGTTTCCACAACACAAAGGCGTGGGGCAGGGAGTTATCTAGTATGATACAATAGTTAATGTTGTTAGGCCAAGCACACTTTGACAGTGTGCTGCCTTTGGGTTGACCCCTCCATCCCTCCGTCCCCCCCCCCTGATCAGCTTGCCTGAGAGGCTCTGGCTTTTTGCTGGCCAAGCTGGTTAGCTTTCCTCATAAGTCAAACAGCCTGTCATTCAGCAGATCTGGCTGCTTGGACCTACACTGCGACTGATCATGTGACACAATAATGATGACCCGCTGTGACCTTTGCGGTCTGCAGTATCCTCTTCAGCATTCCCCAACACCAATGTCGCCTTTACTGCCTCCTAGATGGAAGGTCATCCCTATTAGCCCATGAACAGACTTGAGTGCGTGTGGTCGGTCCGCTAATCCAACTATTCACTCTTCATCGCTTGTCAGAGCCATTACTCCCTGGATCAAGGTAAATGTGCTGATCCTGGGGAAGCCACAGCATAACATGATTAATAGTCACTTTAATCTGAGCTTGGCTGAGCCCTCTGTGTGGCAGGGCTTAGTTGTTCATGTGTGACACCTATCAGCTCTGGTATTGTTTAAAAATGTGCAATTTTAGTGCTGATTTGATATCAGTATTGAAAATCAAAATGATAATTATTTCAATAGCTTTAAACAGGGCAGGAAGTGTAAAATCCACATATTTTTAGCATTTTGGTCAACAACACAGCCGTGGCTGAAAGCGGGATGGAGGAGAGTGGGGAGACCGGACCAAAAGAGTAAAGTTGTGGCCATTAAAACCAAAACAATGACCTTTAAAGATGCTACAATACTTGGTAGAGTCAGACGACACACATTTAATCCACTATTAAATTAAAAATATTGATTTGCGCAGCTTTAAATGGGAAACTCTGTTCAAAGAATAATTAAACAAGACCACCAGTGAAGTTTTTCATACACGGACACATTTTGGACAGTACGAAAAATCTTTTAAGGTTCTATACCCAGCCCCAATCTGCTTACATCTGCATATCACAGTTTTGTCTGGAGTGTGTTAGATGAGGTGAAAGTACATAGGAGCCCATTGTTTATGTAGTCGAGTGTCAGCTGGAACAGCCTCGCCTGATGTCTGGCTGCAGCTGGTGTGAAGCAGCAGAGGCACAGAGACACAGAGAGACAGCTGGATACAAAGCACTCCCCCTCTCTCACTGCCTGGGGTAAAGCCGAAGAGCTGGAAGTGTCTCAGACCTCCCCTGAGCTCGCTCAAGAAGCATAACACTGAGGGGCACTGCGAGCAGGAGGAGCTGCTCAGCGGTCTTCCTAAAGAGGGGGACCAGTGGCAGAATACACTTGTACTGGTAGAAAATATGTGGCGGCTGGGGAAGAAAGGGAGGGAAAGGAGGTGAAGGGTTATAGCGAAATCTACAAGGGAGGGGGGGAGGGCAATACATGTGTACGGCAGACTTCTATTACATGGATGCCTCCAGGGAGGGTTTGGTGCTATAAACACTAGCTTGTCATTCACAGGGAGGACAGAAGAACAGGTTATAGCCCATAATGGGTGTGACAGGTTTTAAAGACTGGTTTGGTGGGTTTACGGCTTAAGGGCGTAAAAAAACCAGCCTGGCAACACAGCAAGGCAGTGGGAACATACAGCCAGAGCGACAGAGCTCTGCAGCACCAGAGCGTTTCTAAAAACAGATCATTTATTCATAATTAGCTCTCATCATGACTGATTGCAGCTCTGCATTCATTCTTAGAAGCCCAGAAAAAACTGGGATGTAGCCAGTCCTCTACAGTTATCTTCCCAACTATAATCTGCCTCCTTGAATGCACCCCAGATAAGTAGTTTCCAAACCCTTTATATGTGCAGAATGGAGTTGACCAAGACCACCATCCTAAGCTACTGTGACAGAGCCTGCAGAGAAATAAAATGGAAATGAGACTTAAGGTTATTTAGTTATTTTCCTCTGTATGTGGGGACAAACACTGTAGTTTCTTCAAACCCCATTTCATTAACTGGCTGAACAGACGTTCAATTACCTAATTTAATGGATTTGGATTTAAATCCTGTTTTCCTGCACTCAGAGGGATGAGATTTTGTCTTGTGATTAAATTTCCCCAAGAAGCTTCAAAGTCTGCATTCTTGTTAATAAATACGACCTAGAAACCAAACAGCTGATTCAAATGCTGATTTTTTTTAATTCAAACAAATGCAATTATACAAATTACTAAGAACCAGCTTAACAACTTAACAACAATTGTTTACTATATATTACATGCTTTTCAAATACATAAAAATGCTCTTAAAAAAAAAAGACGGAACCAGTGTATTTACAATACCAACATTTACATACAGCTTCATTCTCTTAAGAGAAATTGTGAGCACCAGTCCATGATTTCCAGCATGGATGAAATAACCATGTTAAAATAAAAATAAAAAAACAACAACAACAAAACTGGATATTCTGTCTTCCTGCAGTGACTTTTCACATGTGGCAGTGATATCAAAGTTGGTGACTTTGGGTAATACTCAAATGGTGTGACAGATGCATTTGGCTCAATTGTATTAGCAAGTACTGACAGTGAGAAAGATCTGATACTTTGTAAATGACAAACAAGAGTACAGGAAGCACTGTAGTAGCTACAAGCAATGCTTAGACAACATTTGATCTGGTGACTGCAGAATGTTCCAGGAAGAAGCCATCTTTTTTGACTCATTTTTAATGAGTTCAATCCTTCATTTTGATAACGTCCTTATCAATCCCCCTGTCCAGTCCTTCATGGTTCCAGTGCTCATACATGTGTGTAAGTGGCACAACAGGATGAGTCATTCTCGTTGTTCACTGCGGCTAAGTATCCTCTTAAAGAGACGCTCCTAGTCCTTGGTTTGTGAAGTCGCTATCTCTACGGAGAAACACTGAAGAGATTTAGTCCACATTCCCTTGGGCTATACCACATAGTCCACAGCAGGTCCTGGTATAGTTTCAGTGCATCACCAAGTGCCATCACCACAAACACTCGCAATCCAGACATGCTCTTGTGTTTTTTTTTTTGTTATAATTTAAAAACAGTTTGGCATTCAAGAGAAGAAAAAATGAGAAGACTTCATTTTCTTTACAAGCTGAATTCCACAGAAGTTAAGTTCCTTCATTCTTTGGATCCCATGGACACAAACAGGTAAGTGCAGTTTAAGGCACAGTGACAACTTGTCAAGGTGAAAAATGAATACAGCAGATGGGCAACTACACTATTGTTCCTGGTTTCGAGTCTTCGTGCCAGTAAATCTGGTCTTCTGGCTCCAGGTTAGTGTTCATTTGATTACTGATGTGTGGGTCCATTTGGCTGACATCTATAAAGGATCTGAAATAAACACATGAGATGAAACTCGTTAGACAGGTGGCACACTGAGTGTAGCTTGTGAGTGGTTAACTACGAGTTTAGAATGAATTAACCCTGGGCTGTCAAAACGATCCTGTCATATTGCAGCTTTGTAGTGCCAAGATCAGGAAGTAAAATAAAAGAAGAAATGTTAAAAAAAACAAACAAAAACATTCATGTACTAAGTTACCTCATATGTTTCAGGCATGTTAATGTTAATAACAGTTTCAGAGGGTAAACCCAGGGTCAAACATTCACACCCAACAAAACAGCAGATGCACACAGACATTATGCAAACGCATAGCCTTCAAATGCGACTATACTCAGGGGTCACATTTTTTCCTCTGCCACACAAGTGCTCTCCCACCACCGCAGGACACCCAGAGAAATAAACCAAAAATCAGGAAGAGTAATATGAAATCATTTGGAGCTTTCTTCTAGTCCCTGCCACATATATATATAAAAAAAAGACACATCACCATCACCATGATAACCATGTGGGCAAGTTTTACAGTCTCGTCTCTCACCCTTTCTTCTGTGCTGTGACTCTGATAATTGGGGGGAAGGGGTAAATTTTCCTGGTCAGACGCATAGGCAACAGCCCCACACCTCTCTAAAGGCCCCGCAGGGCACGCCATCCTATCACAGCTCCGCCACTCAAACTCTGTGGGACATCTGTGCCTGAGAAGGGGGCAAAGGTCATGGGTGAATGGCAGCACATGGGCAGGGAGCCTCTATATGGGCCAAGAGGAAGGCAAACGGCAGAGAGAAAACAAACAAACCAAAAAAAAAAAATCTGAGCACTAAAGGCACACTACAGAGAAATGTGACCACTGGATGACAATATGCCAGCTGGAAGAGGAAATAGGGCAGGCATGTTTTTGAAAAAGCCATGCAATTATCTTATTGTACATGACAATGAAGGATCAGTCAAACATCTCAAAAATGCAAAGTTCACTTCAAAACATCAACAAGCAGACTATGGAGTCACATTGCAGACAGACTAAAAGAAGCAAACGCACAGGCTCCGGCCATTGCTGTTTACTTACTATGAACTACCTTTCACAAAGGACACCTTACTGAGCCTGTGCCCTCTGGAGGATTGTGGCTGTGCAGGGCTGGAGGTCACCTGCCTGACCCGACAGCCAGGGGAGTAGGAGGAGGAGGGAAAGGAGGAGGAGGGCAGGGAGGCAGTGGAGGAGGAAGCTGAAGAGGAAGAACTAGCAGGGAAAAAGGCACAGCGCCTCTGGCCGTCAGGGCTGTGCCAGGAGCCCTTTAAAAGCTGGGAGGTGCCATATCTATAAGAAAGCAGGGGCCAGTGGACAGTTAAGGACAGCAGAACCAGTCTTAAGCTCTGAGGAAGAACTGACTGCTGGCTGCACAGATCCTATAATCCTACTGCTGAACCAAGCTGTCATGTAAAAGCAGATGGATGTTTTCTGATTTCCTAACTTAACGGAGAAGTTGAAGAAAATGTAACATTGGCTGCACATCAGTCCATAGTATTGTTGTGTTAAAGAATAACAAAAACCAAATAGCAGCTTATATTTTCTGTAGCCATCCATTCTAGGTAATTAAACACTAGCGCTTAGCTCTGGGGATAAGGAGGATCAGGGAGTGGCTTATTGGATAAGGAGCTGAAGCCGAGCTGAGGTTTTTTTTTTTCTCTCACCTGTTGTGGGCGGAGTGGCTGTAGGGGGCTGTACTGTAAGAGTAGGACTGCGGCGCATGCACGGGCATGTCATATTCCAGCATACCACCACCACTCATATGGCTGTGCCAGTTTCCACTTGAGGACACTAAGGACACTGGAGAGAAAAAATTGTACATGTCAGCAAATTACCCACCTACATGTGAAACCAGGGTCAACAAAAGCATGCACTAGAGACTGTGAGATATGGTGCAGGGATCTAACCTGAGGAGTAGGAGGTGTTTCTGTTGTTGTGGCTGTAAGGTGCAGGCATGGTCTGATAGCCCAGGCTCTGCTGGGAGCCTCTGTCATAGTCGTAGTTGTACGCAGGCTGTTTGTGCGCAGCGTTGCGATGGTACCAGCCTCTCAGGTGTTCCGCCACCAAAGCCTTCTGGATGTTCTTGGTGACGTGCTCGTTGCTGCGGGGCACGGGGCGGTTCCTTGGTGGCCGCAGTGTGGCGTACGGGTTCTGTGACATGCCGTCTATCTCGTCGTTACCATAGTGACTGTGCGTGTCGTGGCTGTGATAAGCTGTTGGGGTTGGGTGGTAGGAAGGGTTGACGTTATAGTGTCCCTCCATCTCATTGTCATACATGTAGACTCCATTAGAGTACGGCTCTGGTTCTGCATGGCTGGGATAGCCTGCGACGTAGTAAGCCGTTGTGGTGGGTCGGGGTCGAGGCTGGTAGGCGTAGGAGCGGGTGTCTGGTTGAGCCAGGTTGGGCATGCTGCCCGTGTTGGCGTACATGTCTTTTCTGTGGCGACCGCGAGCTCTGCGTCTGTGGGTGTGGTTACCGGGAACGCTGTACTCCACACTGGATTGGCTTGTGTAGGAGGAGCCGTCATCGAGGACCTCAGTGCTGTTGCTGCGTCGGGCTGGGGAGAAGGTGAACGTTGGCACAGGAGGTTCGGTCTCTGTCACGAACTGGGACTGGGACTCCAGACTACCGCTACGCTGGCGGAAATGTTGTGGAGCGTCCTCTGATCTACAATTGGAAAGCACTTTATTGAAAAGCTCTGTTTGGATTCACGGATATGCCAAAACACACAAGAGCTGTTGATGGCACAGATATTGAAAAGTCTCTGAGGCCTTACCTGAGCTGGGTGCTGCTGTAGGCATTGCGGGTGAGGAGGGGGGTGGGGGGCATGCTGCGGGCATCACGTGGCTGTCTGGAAGCCGGTTTAAATGGGCTGCTGTGGCTTGATAAGGCATCACGGTGACTGTAGTGGAGTGATTCCTGGACTTGGCCGTAATTTGATCTGGAACACAGATAAGAACGGTGTTTTTAGGGCTTTTGCCTCTATAGGGCTGAGCTTTTTATTGAAATAAACACCTCTACCCTCTCTCTCTTCACCTTCTGTCAGAAAAACAGTTTGGGTTTCCTTGAATGCAGCACTTTAGCCATTACTTACACCTGAATGACAGTCATTACATACCCCGTTGATCATTCTTTTCATGCAACAGCAAGCATTACGACTGTTTACAGCAAGTTTAAACTTCTGAATCTGAGGGCAACACATCACCCATATCACTTTGTAAACAGTCATGAAGTAGCTGCCATTTAAACTAAGTTTCCAGAGCTTTCCTGTTTCCCTTTTCCTCTCCTCTCGGCTGGGAATTGTTGTCTGCTCCTTCGCAGGCAGCGACATGTTCTTTTCCATCTATTTTTAAAGCCGGTGCATTGGGCTGATAAGAGGGAGATTGTTGGAGAGCCAGGAGAAGGAGGGAGGTGAGGTGACTAGCAGGAATGTAGCTGTGGAGCTAGTCTACAGGTCTGTACTAGCTCCATGCTTATGGGCCTCTAGAAAAACAACTGTCAGACGCACACTGGAAATTAAAATAATCTTTCATGGGTGTCATTGCTGGCAGTTTACCTGCTGTCTGCTTGCGGGTCATTGGCAGAAGCCCGTCTGTCTTTGCTGTAGTGAATGTCCAGAGTTTCTGCGTGGTGCGGTCTTGGGGAATACTGAACCGATCTGGACCTCTGCCTCTGGGAAATGAGCTCGTCATCTGGCAGATAAAAAGTGGTTGCTTGGTTAAAATGTATCTAAAATGCAGTAAATGAGGGAGGAGGGAGTGAACACATGCACAATGCGCATGGCTATGCCTGGGCACTTACCATCATCTAGAGTGAGGCTGTCAGATAGAGAGCTTAGGTCTGAAGGGTTGACATCATCTGATAACAGAGGAGAGAAAATAGTCCTTAGAGACTCCTCTGATATACACTTTTCATAGGAAATGACACACCTTTCAATCAATCATCACTTGTCAGAAAATTCATAGACCTTAAAAATGAATTTCAAGCTTTGACAGGCAAGCAAAACATAACCCATGTGGAGCTTTCCCTGCAGTTTATGACAGCTACCTGCTAAGATCAGTGAGGCTCTCTGGGTGGGTTTCTTTCCTTTCTTGATCCTGTAGGCGTTGATCTCTTTCTCGATCTCTTCCAGCTTCCTCATTGCATCCAGACAGTTGTTTCTCCTTTTCTTCTTCACTGTCTTGGCGAGGTCATCCTCGTTGGATAACTTGATGGCTGCTTCCACAATCTTCTGCTGCAAGGCGAACCTGCTCTCAAGATTCCTCAGATGTGGGTCCTACAGGGAAACACAGCACGCACACAGTTAATGGGGGGAATTTCCAAAAAATGAAGACAGATCCCATCAACGGCAGTACTCTGAACAAAGAAACAGACTACAAAGACACAATATGGAATTTATCTATAAACATTCATTCTCAGTGTGCTGACATTCATATTCAGACGTATATTCTCTTTCATAATAATTTGGAAACTCAAAAATGTTTCACTCAAAGCATTTTCAAAACGTTAAACCCCTAATCCTCATCTCAAAAGTCAAATGATCCAAATGGTCTCTAGGTAAACAAACACAGTGGTGGAAGACCTCTGTTTCAATTAAGTATGACATGCTTCATTACACAACAGACAGAAATATACCACACCAACAAAAACACAACACACCAACAGCAGCACTAACCTCATCATAGGGGAAAAGGTCATCCAGCTTGAAGGCTGTCCCAACACGCCGTCGTACATGAGGAGCCTTCTCACCTGTGGCTAAGGGATAGTCTTTAGGCAAACGGCCTGTAAGCTCCTGCAAATGAGAACCACAACCAAAAGTCAGCTGAGAGTGTGCGCCTTTCAAACGCCCTTGAGAAAAGAACAGAATAATAGAGACACTCACAGCTTCCCTCATGCAGATCGTCTTCAGTTCTTCAAGTTTCTGTGTCAGTGTGTCTTGAAGCTCCTTTTCTTTCTTTTTCAACTCGGCAACCTTCTCTTTCTTCTGTTCCTCGCTGACTTCAGAGTCAGCAGAACCTGGAATAAGCACACGTCTGATTAACTACAAATTATAGCAATAAATCATCTCTCACAATCTGACGTGGATGAGAAGCCATTAGCCGGTTAACTCTCTGCTTACCGGCTGAGATGAGGCTGCCATTGCTGGCCATGATGAGCTGGTCTTTGCTTTCAATGCTGGAAAGTTTACTGATCCGCGGGGCGCAGATCTCTGTGAGGTCCATGGCGATGTCTCCTGAACTCCTGGTCGTGGTCATCTTTGACTGTAGGTTAGGGAAGAGTCGGTTAGGAGGAAGGAAACAATGATGAGGAGGAGGGAAAAGAGTAATGAAGGAGGGATTGTGAGTATTTCATTTTAATGATAGCGCACTGCGATAGTGGCGGCTCCATTTGCATGCTCAGTACTCCAAGCGCACTGCTCTCTCATCAATCAGTGTGGGCTCTATTCCTGGATGAACACTGACACACCATCTGCCTTTGAGGGAAGACAGTGGCTGAATAACCTCATTTGACTGCAGCCACACACACTCATCCATCTCCACCACGAAATGCACATCACACACACCACTCATACTGTATAACAGCCCTGATACTGCATCATAAACACAAACACATGGATCATGAAGGCACTCGGACATCTTTTAAAACACCCACACAGGATTGAACACACTGTGCCCTTTTCTATTTAGTGTCAATTGTGCGGTCATAAAACCCATTTATCTCTTCCAAGCTAAACACTTCACATTTTATATGGCAAATTCTGGTTCTACTTTGAGTTAAACACGTTTCCTCAGACCACAGACAAGGTAAAAATAGGCATAATAATAGGCGCTACTACTACAACTATATCATTCTGCACTACTATATCAGCAGTGTGGTAAAAATATTTCACTCAGAGCAATTACAAGCTCTTGTGCATTTTCACTTTCAACAACCTAACTGCCTGTTATTTAAGTTAAAGATAACAGCAGTACTATTCCTTTTAAAGCAAGAATGAATCCCAACATAAGGCTGATCAGCATGGAACGTATTCACATTAAATCTGGAGGCCTGGGATATCACTTCACCAAGATATTTACACAAGTCACAGGCATGGGACACGGATCAGGCAGTGAATCACATGAGCAACAGTCACTGTTACACCACGCTGACACTTTCACAATAACCTTTCAGACAGAACGTCAGTCCATATACAAACTGAATGAGAAAGACAAGCTCAGTGTATTTAATCCATCTGAAACCTAATTTTACAGTCTGGTGAAAACAGGTCAACACTATAGCTCATACAGATAATCATTTTAAAGTTTCTAATAGGGCGATACAAACACACAAATAAACTGTGTATATCAGTAATTTGCTCCTAAAGAATCAACCCTTTTACCCTGCGTGACCTTCTGTAAACACACACACACCTGACCCTGATCTGTGACCTATGCGGGTCACTTGACATGAGACAAGCGCTATACACAGGTCAAGCCATCAGTGTAAAATGAGTATTATGCTGTTTCTGAGTAAATCTCAGTTGGCAGGAAATGTGAACAAAGTAAACCAGTGAGGAGAAAACAGACACTCACTTTGCTTTGCTTCCTGTCCAGGTAGAACTGGTGCTGACTGATGGCCATCACCCAGATGGTTTTAATCAGAGAGTGGCTGGCATACCACGTGTGAATGACCAGACCAGTCTGTCCGAAGGTTCGCTTGGTCACTGTTCTTCTGTAGAAATAATAAGACAAACATTCAGTACTTGTGCTAATCCAAGAAGCAAATGTGTTCATTAACTGCATACAAAAACAGAACTGTTGATGGTAGATGAACAAGGCTTTAATTAAGATTAAAAAGATGTGTTAGGCAAAGATTAAATAATAATTCAAATAAAATCTTTATCCAATTAAACTTGTGGGTGTTTGTGTAATAATAGACTGAAGAGGAGACGAGCAGTGACATCAAACTCATTTTGAAACAGACAGTGGGATTTAATAACAGCTTTAGTGGCTGGAAGTGCCACATTAAAGCTAATGTGAGTAGCAGAGGTCTTACAACAACCGTAGAATAACACATTGGCCCTTGAAGAGCAGGAAAACACTCATTTCACAGGTTACAGGTTACAGCTATTAACATGGTGTCCTAAATGGGCCACTGGCGGCAGATGCCCTTCACTGTGTGTAAGGTGTAGGATAAGGACATCGGAAGCAAGAGAGCAGCAGCTAAAATGAGAACACTTCAAAAACAGGGAAAGGACCTATTAAGATCAGCTAAGATAGATTGAGTGGTTTGCCTTCTCTGACCTGTGTGGGTCGTTCACTTCCACAGCAAATTTCTTTTCGCGGAAATACAAATTCTCCAACTGCTTCCACTGAAACAACTGCAGAGAAAGAGACAGTTCGGAGGAAAGGGGGGAGGGGTAGAGAAACATTACACATCACTGAATACACAGGCCAACAGAGGACTATTGATTAAATGTGGATTTACAGTACATAAACAGAAATGTCATTTGATACCACAAAGGCTGTAAAACACACAGTTGTGTCAGTTTACCATACAAATGGGATCAATCTCGCAAAGACAACACAACAGGGAGGCAGGTATTAAAACTACTTGCTCTGTTTCAACAACAGCAGCCTGCTTTTTAGCTGTTTTTCTGGTCAATTTGCAAAATTAGCAGAAACAACACAAAAGCTGAAGCTGTGAATGGGGTTCAGCGGACCGGCCAGTCAGGTGCAAGTTCGGGCTAACGCAGGAGCAATCATAATGCCAATGCTGCAACTGCAGGGAGCAAAATCGTGCCAGGCGGCAGGCCAGCTTCCCATTTCATTCTGCTGTGGAGGAGGCAGGACCTCTCTGTGTCAGAATGAAACATCTGCTCTGCCGATACTGGGCTCACTAAACAGATTTGGAGCCACTTGCCTGTGAACAACTTCCCTGCTCTCATATTAGTAAAAAGAAAAGCCACTGAACAACAGTGGGGCTTAGAGTAAAGCCAGAGAGAACGTTTATAACCACTTTTTTTTACCCAATACCAACCCAGAAGGTAGCAACACAAATTACTCTAAACTACAAAAACATTTCACAACCTGTGAAATTGTGCCTAGGCTAAGAAATCACATTAAGATGCCACATTTTCACTTCCACTGGGACAAACATATTTGCTGAGCCTAAATTATACTCAACAAACCAACTAGAAGACATATCTCCCTTTACAACAGCGTGGCCAGCACAGTGACAGGATGGATGTGTTTAGAGCACAGGGAACAGGTACAACACCACCAACACTAAACCTAACCCTAACCACCAACAAAAACAGCTAAACAGGTAATAGATGGACACAATATAAAAGCTTACCGTAAATGGTATTTTTTGCACTTATCAAATCCCTGCTGAATTCTCTTGGGTTTGTATTGAATCCTTTGACTGAGTTTCCCACAGGGCTAGAGCTTCCTCGAACAATACTCTCTCTTGTCTGTCTGGAGTCAGATAGGTGTTGCAAGAGTTTCAGCTGAGCTGGCCCCGCCCCTTTCACCACCCCTCCTCCTCTGACATCACAGATACCTCACCGATGCCTCCGAGGCTTTGCGCTGCTCTGCACTGCTCCCTCTCTCCTACACTGCTCACTTCCTTTTTAGTCAGACCAGATGAGCAGGTTGTACACAAGCATGTGCTGGGCAGGGTATGCTCTTGTTTGAAGACATTTCATCTCTGCTCCACTTCCCGTCACTCGCAGATAAGTGATCAAACCTACACTGACTTTGAATAGTCCGCTTCCATCTGGGAAGTTCTCTGCTTTTCATATTGTAAATACCACACAAAGCACTGTTGTGAAGCTGAATCTACTGTGACACTCTCCCCCCACCAGGGCAAACATGTTAGGAATCTGTTACTATGGTCTAATCATTAATAGCAGGGGGCTCTCTTTGCCTTCATGTGGCAAGGGAGCACTCTGTCAGGTGAAAAAACCCCACTATGCATGTTTTTACAGGTTTACACTAGCAAACAATCTTGACAACTCAGAGTTTCAAGCTACACATTTAATGTGTGTATTCATACACTTTCACAGGAAGCTTTCATTTTGCATTGAATAAAATCAATGAAGACACTCAAAGTCGATGTTAGATTTCCAGTCAAGGTAACAATAATGTCTTTAGTAATGTAGGCATGGTGGACCATAATGCTGTTCCAGCCAACACTGTACTCCTTATCAATTATATAGTCAGTCTGCCAATGATACGATGAGCATGGTACTAGAACAATGGGAACCAGCCAGCAGGACACTTCCAAAAAGCTCATCCCATTGTAAAGGGGACCCCCGCCAATTAACACCCCTTCGTCACTATCACTAGCATAATTTACATTGTAACAATAAGAGATAACAAAGGTCTTGGCAGTAAGCACACACTTTCACTGCACAATTCCTCCTATTAGAGAAATACCACACCTGTCTGCCAGCACATAGATGAAACTAGAGGACTCTCTTGTGACTGCTGCTGAAGCCACTGCCTTAAATATTTCAACGATGTGACACACCTCAATCTCTCTCAAAGACTGCAAGAAGTCCTTTTAAAGTGGAAACACTCCAAGAAATCATTCTGCACACAAGCGAGGTGACATAGCAAGTGACTCATACAATACAACTCCTAGGAAGAGAAAACAAAAGAAACCATTTTCTTAAAACCAGGAAACACTCCAACTTAACAGTACGCTCATGATATGAGTGAATACACAGAATTTCAGCATTTTAGTATCTTTAGTATTCACATCTCCCTTGTTTTTGCCAAATATCTCATTATAGGCAGGTGGAAGTGAGCCAGAAATGCCTGTGGTTTCAGATGGGATCAGGCTGTTCAGATCCAGCTCACACCCACAACTCAAAGACCCCCCAGGGCCATGAGTCCGCAAAATCATACACGGATGAAATTGTGTCTAAGGCCCTGACTCACAGGGCTGCACAGAAAAAGACCTGCCCCACCCTCCACATAACACATCACATACCAGCTCTGGCTGGCTGGCAACACTGTACGTTTCCACAACATGACGCATTGCTTAAAGTTGTGAAAACCTGACTGGAAGAAGAGACCGGAAAGAACTTTCTGCTCGGTTTTCCTTTTAACTTACTTCTTTCAGGCCTTTCATATCATGTCATTATTACCCCAGAGGCTGACACTGCCACCCATAATAAACTGAAGATTTATTTTGGTTCTGCTGGCTCATCATACATGTGGACCAGCATGTGGTCTTAAAGAGTGTCCCATTACCCACTGGGAGAGAGTGACACAGAGTGAGGAAGAGAGACAAGTCTCCTGGTTTCATTCAAGAAAGAATTAAGTCTTGGCTTGCCATCTGCTTCAGTCCCATCCTTTGCCTTGGAAACGCTGTATTTGGTCCTCCATTTTTGTTTCTCATACTGAACAGTGGCTAATCCTCCAAATTTCAGGCTTTTTAATATGGAGAGATGAAACCAGCATGCATGCAGAGAGGTTAAGCTATTGTAGCTACTTTAAAGGATTTTAAAACTTAAAAAATATATATATATATATTTCTAAAATATGCTTAACTGCTGACCTCCCACCAGTAGCACCTCTAAATCCAGCCCCCCTACACAGATAATTGTTTTGTATTGTTTGATCAATTGTGTTCCCTCCAAGACACACACACACACACACACACACACACACACACACACACACACACACACACACACACACACACAATTACCATGATGAATGCAACATGTTGAGAGGGGCTGGGCTGTGTTGAATACAGGGGCTGTGAACTAAGGCAGGAACCATTATCAATATTCACCACATATAGAGGTCTCCCTTCAAGGCAAAAGGAAAGTAGCCATACACTTCCACATCACTAAGAGCAACAAAAAGGGTCATTTCAAAAAGCCAACAGTTTTCCCCACATCAGGAGTCCCCTTCTTGTGTGGAGGAGTTGGAGAACTAGGAACTAGTTTTAAACACTCCCAGCACCCCTACACCCTCATTGCTGTGCTGTCCCCCTACTCTAAACACCCACCCACCCTGCTGGCAGAGTGCCAACCCCAGTCCCAGAGGCCTGCTGCTTCCCACAGAGAACCATAATTACACCTTCAACTCAGAAGGTTGGGGGGAAACACAGTGGCTGCGCCCATTAATGCCTCAGTGTAACAGCACACCCTGCTATGTCAACAGGTTCCTGCTATATAACAACAGCTATGACAAGGCTATTGAAAGAAGCTGGGGAGAAATGCTTGCTTGGGCCACTTTTAAATAATGCCTCTCAAACAAGGGGAGGGCATTCACAGACACAAGAAGAACTCAAACATTCAACATCAACAGCAACTCAACAACAGGAGCGGTACATTTTTGTACTTTTTTCACATGCACCACAACAGGCACATGATGGGCCCTCTACAGATCAGATCAGTAGCTTAATATCCACCAAAAAGCAAAAAAAGTTGGGTCTGATAATTTAAGAAATAAATGTTTATCATTTCCTAAATTAAGGTAAAAGTGAAGTACATAAAGTGGACAGCATTAACACTTAATATGTAAATACTTTTTCAATTACAACTGACAGTGAAAGGGTATTTTAATTTGCCTGTATAGTACACTGCTCCAATGTCAGGCTTTCATAATAAACCAAGGGACAATGCTACGCTATTTTCAGAGTGTAGGTATTTTGTGCATTCTTCCCTTTACACTCTGCAAGTCGAGCTGTTTTATAAAACTGATGACAATTAATTCCACTCTTGCAAGTACTGCACTGTATTTGCTCTTACGCCTACAGCCTTGACCTTACACGGCACATACTGATACCCAAAAATATTTTACCCCTTCGGTCTTCCTCTTTCTCCTGACTGGCATGGGAACCAGGGTCTTAATTACGCCTATTTACAGTGTGGATGGATCATTAACCAGCAAACAAGAGGCACGGTGATGAAAGCCATGTTTTCAACTAGCAAAGTATTAGCAAAGTATAGTGCTCAATAGTACATACTTCCACAAGATACTTTGAAAATACTTGTTTTACTTTAAATAGCCTTAAATTTCACTTTCAAGATTTTTAAGTTTATTTATACAAAGGCCCTCACCCCAAGTTAGTCCCAGGGGGCTTAACAATGTGTACAACATATGAAATTCTGTATCCTTAGATTCTTGATGTGGTTAACGAAAAACTCACAAGTGGTGGCGTTTTTCTTTGAAGAAATAACATTTCAGATGAAATACAGTTGGGGCAAACAGAACAGCTGTGAGAAGAAGTCAACCTACCTTTCTTGGTTTCAGTTTATCTTGCAAATCGTACTGGCCAATGCCTTTGTAGCTGACTCCCAGCCACCACGGTATTTCTTGCTTGTCCTGCGTGAAAGCACAAACACACACACACACGACACCACTCATTAGAGGTAGCTTTATTGGTGGGAGTTTGAAAAAAATAAAAAAGAGGCCTGTTACCAAAGCAATTACCCCATTAGGCTCACAGCAATAGCAACACAAGAAGAGATCAAATACATTAAAAGGCCTTCAAATCACTGCAAGACTGACTGAGTCATTTTAACGTCACTGTTTGATCTCCCCAGATACCTTGATTTAATAGGGTTTGGTCTAGAAAAACAAGGAAAGTTGAAGAAAACATTTAAAACATATTAAACTAAACATGTGCCACAATGTTTTACTGGATTCCTGACTCGACTCTTTTGAATTATTTAAGTACTAAGTCGGTTTGCATTATTTTATCCCACCCAAGCAGGCAGAGAAAGTCCTGTGTGTTCCTACAGTAACAGACATGTTGCTACTTTAGCTGCAGATTCTAGGCAAGAAAAGGCCTCATGATTCAAACATAATGCAAATATAATGGAATTAAGTGAATAAAGGTTAGACTGATGTATTAGATTAGATGCAGAAAAATAAAATTAAGACAGCATGTTGACAGAAGCTTGTTCTAAGGTTAAGCTTCTGTATGACTTGGGGCACCACTGTTACCTTCACTGGGTAATAATGGACTCCATATGTCGGCAGGGACTCCACCAGGGCCAGATACCTTCAGAGAAAGAGGAACAGGTTAACAGGAATTCCGCCGTTTACACTTCATCACTGTCAACAGGAGGCTGTTGTAGAACAGACAAAGTGGGATTTAAGCTACAGTCATTGAGAAGCCACAGTCATTTGCAGTGGCAAGCTGATCGATTTGTTTCAGGGCTGTGACAGAGTCCATTGATCAGTTCAAGGGCACAAATCATCCAAGTGTAAATGGCCCAGGGTTCCTCTGAGTTACTGTCCCAGGGAAAACACAGAGAAGGGTGGACATCCTCCCAAGGCTGGCTGGCTGGCTGCCTACTCTAAGAGCACCTCCTCTAATTAATGACACATTCTGGCATGTGACAGCCCCCTTTTATAACAACAGCTTCCACAGTGCAGACACACGAGGTTAAAGAGGAAGGCCTGATGTAGGTGCTGGAAAACTGTGGCATCAAAGGCAGTTCATTTGCCACACTCTAATCAATTTGAATCATAAAAATACTATAGTTTTTTTTAAACTTACTGCACAATGGCTTGTCCTCTGGTCAGCCCCTTCAGTTTCTTGTAATGTTCAATCACTTTGTCCTCACTGCAAATGGATAGATAAAACATTTAATGAATAATCCATCAAGTGTTACACATTCCAGCCGCAGAGGGCCTGTGGCAGGGCCCTTTCGTTGACACACATTCTGCCTGCTCATGCAGAAAATGCAGTCTGGCCTACTGGCCTGCTGATGGCTCTCATCTACCTCTCCTGCAAATGCATCCCATTTACTTCCCCACTGTAATCATCCCTTTTAATAGCATAGTGAAACTGCAAACTCACTGCGGCTTAACAGACAGAAAGATACAGACCTATTCATGTGCTTAGCCATACAACCGTAAGACTATAATTTTAATTTGGATATTAAAATGATGCATCCGCTTCAGAGGCTGCAGCAGCCTCAGATGACCATTTAGCCAGAGGAGGAGGGGCAAGCAGAGGAGCAAAAACAGCAGTGTGGATTGAAGAGACAGACGGCAAACTATTTAGACAGTCAGCGACCGTCAACACCTCCTTGTGCTCTCTCAGGGCTAATGGGCAAACGTAATTAACGCAATCCAGGCATTAATTATTCACCCCATCAGTGGCAAAACTGTCTGCCAAGTACCTGGCAGGTCTGTAGGCACCTTACCAACAAAAACTGCTCTTCTAGGGAAATTACTGGTTCGTACAACCAGGTGTTACTGGCCACTGAGGCGATTTGACAGCTGAATCGTTAGTGTATATTAAGGTGAAAGGGCTGTGGTATTGGTTAAACCACAAGTACCTACAGGGCTGTGTGTTTGATCCCCTAACTCTGCCCCCACCCCCACCCCCATCCCTGACCTGCATGCATTTTGTGGTTTGTTTTCAGAGACCTCAACAGCTCAGACAACTTACCAGTAATTGAGAGATGGGTGCTCCCTTAATACTTTGGTGGGCAGAACTGGGAGCTGCTTCAGGTCCGATCTGGCAGTCTCAGCACTGAAAAGAAAACCATATACAAACTTTAAGAACAGCTACTGTATTCATTCACAATATCAAGAGTCCTTTCCAGTTACATATTGATGCTTCAGAGCTGGGAGAGACACAACAAAGCACCAAAATTACACTGTTGATTGATGAAACACTCCCATATACATGATAATCTCTACATTTAGACATAGTATCCTGTTATGACCTCAATTGAGTCCTCCAGACCAGTATATGGACCATAAGTAAAAGGTAGATGTTTACACAAGAATCTTAACTCAAAGTCTAAAAATGCGTAGAGAACATTTCTCCACATGTTCGTGCTTTCACAGTGTGGTTTGAATTTCTATCTTAAGGCATGACAGCAATAATTCATGTTTGCAAACCTTTAGAAAAGGTGCAGTGTCAGGATATTGTTTTCATCTTTCTTATCTATAAAGAGTAGTACTGTTTGCCAAGACTAAACTTGAGCTTCACTCATGTCTTGCCAGACTTCATTTATAAAAGCACACACAGGGCCTTTAAGTCATGGGGAGCCTTTTAAGGGGCTTGGCAAGAAATCTTTTCAAAAATATCAAAGCCATTTCATGAAGGTTCTCAACACGAATGCACTTCGCAGTTATTCTGTGAACTGTGGGTACACAACTTTATACTGATTCGCCCTCACAGATTACCCAATGATCACAACATGACAGATGCAACAGGTACAGTTGGTGTCACCTACAAACTCTGCCAAAAATGTTAAGTAGAGGCTTCAACTTCAGTAACAAACACAGAAAGCGGTCATGTTATCTATACAGACAAACTGTGGTGTTTGTCACTGTCAAGGTCTATGATAGCCAACTATGAGTCACTCCAACATCGTGTAGGAGGGAGTACTGGGTCTACAGTTTCTGCTGGACAAAAAGGGCTCTGGCTTGGCGGGCCAGTCCACTGGAGACCCAAACAAAAGCCATTCACAAGCACTTGGCAGCCTCTCCCTGTGCTGAAAAGTATTGTACGAGCCCCGGTGCTGCTACAAAACAGTCCACTGACTCTGAGACAGAACTAAAATGTGTAGGTCAAACCATACTTAAGATAAACTATTAGAACATCCTCGAGTATTGTACCAGCTCTAAAATTAAACTCAACATAGCAAATTAAGTATTGGATGATTCAGGCCAATGGCCATTTGACCTTAAGTTGACTTTTATGAACATCAATTTAAGTCTTCTTTTAAGAATAATGGAATTTAACAGCCGCTGACATGGTAGGACAGAAGCATAATCATCCAGTTATGTGAACCAGCTTACTAAACAAAAAAAACAAGGGGGAGCCACTGCAAGGGCAGAGGCACTTGAATCACTCTTCCCTATAGCTACCTCTCCTAGGTTGACTGGGTTTTGCTGCCACGGCACTTCACTGCGTGTTTGATGGCATACATTTTATGGGGAGCTGGGGCCTGGCGTTGTCGGGGTGATCTACTTTGCAGCCGCTCTGCTCTGTCAGCAATCTGGAATTCATTACTATGTCTGTTATCTCCCCGCAGCCTGCAGCGTGGGGGCAATTCCTACACCAGGCAAAGCCCAGCCTTGCCCGGTGCAGCCTACCCAGTGTGGGAGAGATAATACTCATGTGTCAGCTGTTCCACAGGGCTGAGACGTGGTGACTGTGGAGGGAGCACAATGAGAACGCCTGTTGCTGTGAATGAACCACTAACTACAGGCTACACCTGCAAATAGAACTGACGACTAACACTGTCTGGTTGTACTGGTTCATGCGGGTACAATAAGAAACACAACTGACACTGTGTTAATCAAAGTTGATTTCAAATTACTGGCAGTTAATCTACAGTGGCACAGACAATGTCTGTAGCTCGCTTTTGCATTACAACTGTAAGAGAAAAATCCCAGGTCAGTCGCTCATAAAACCGTTAGTCATAACTAAAGACTTTCTGTGATTTCCTATGTTTTACAAAATCACTTTCATCAATCCCCAGAGAAGGGGTAATTTGTTGCATTCAACTATGGATTATACCTGCAGGTGGTGAGAGCAGTCGCAATACTAATCAATAGAGTAAGAAGACGCAAATGCAATACTGACATTGCAGAGGTAACTCTGATACATGTACAATGGGAAACCTGAGGGTGCATTAATTCAATGCACAGCGGGGGTTTGGCCCACACCGCCGCAATAACATGACTACAGTGAGTCCTACTGACGCCAACTTGTCTACTATTGGACAGTGGGTCTGGCTCATCCCTCTTAAGGCAGTTAGCTGTAGGAGGAGGAGGTCTCCTTAACTCCTCCACAGCTAATCTCACAGCTCCAGGGCCCTTTGCTGGTACAGTGTAGAAGAGACACATTTATATTATATACTTTATGGGGGGATTTACCGGGCCTGTTCTCTAAAAGAGGCAGAAATAAAGGACACTGCAGGCACAGGAATGAGAAATACTGCCCCAATGTTCCAGTAACAGAAGTTTTAGAAAAACAACTTTCTTTTGCAGATTTCTACACATTTCTCTAAAGAAGGAAATATTAAAATTGCTGTCAAATGACACAAAACAAATGCTCCAAGTGCCTTACAGCCAACTATTTAGAAACCATAATCAGAACGAGCAGGGGAAAAGTAGTGTCAGCAAAAATAAAGAAAAAGAAAGCTCGATTTGGACAGACTCCCATCCTCTCTGATACCAGATTTGTTGGCAGGTTGTCTTTTATTGTGCTTTCAGAGTCAGGACAAAGTACGGCCCATCCCTACACCCACATGAACTGAAAGTTCAGACTGCACTATACACTCCAGGGTGAAGTAGTTTCAAATCAAAACACTGAGCCATAAGTCTGTACTAAAGCGCCAATAAATAATAATTAACATTTATCAGGTCAATTACGCCTGGAACTAATGGGGGAGGTTAATGAGCACAAGCAGATGCAGCCAAGTTTTTCTGTCTTTTTTTGCAAGAGAACAAAGGCAATGGTTTGACAAGGGGTCAAACTGCATTTTCAGCATTGCATGTAAGGCCCATTCAAACCAGACACACAAATAACTCCTTACAGAGCACAAATCTTTGTATTCACATAATGAACAGGGAGGCCTTTAGAGGCAAAACACTGGGAAACACAGGTTGGGCTGCTTCAAACTGCTCAGTCACTTACTCAGACAGAGCGGTGTTTACTAATCGCAGCAAATGCCCTTCACTCCTATGGCTGGCAAAAAAAACAACACACCTTATCAGCAGGTCAAGCCTCTGAGAGCACGGCCCACTATGAAAACATTATCTCCACCAGTGAATTGATTACGGTGGTTTTGTACAGAGCCTCCCACCAGTGTCATCAACCAAATTGTGTACAGAAAGTCCGTGTATTTGTACTGTGTCACATAAGCAGTGTCTGTGATGTGATGCAGTCAGAACATGCAGCCAAATAACACCAGTGTTCTGATTTTAAAGGCAACATTTGGACCATGTGGATGGCAGCCAGCCAGCCAGCAGGGGTCCAGTTCAATGTCACAAGAACAAAATCAAGGTAATTATTAACTATGGGAAGTTCTGCATGAAATAAAATCTGAGGGAGTCAAGTTGAACATTAACTGACACAGCCATCATTACACACTTTGCACTGATCAAACAACACAACAAACCAAGTCCTGCGTCCTTGCAAGAGTACACATACACTTCATAAACTGAGTTTGGATTGTACTGCAGACACTAAATGGTTTATGGATGTCCGTGTATACAACAAACATTAGCAACAAATTGTACAGATTTTAGTACATTTAACTTTTTTTTTTTTAAAAAGCCCAAAACATTGCATTTGTAGATGTAGATGTGGCTACTTAACTAACTTACTTAATGTCCTACTCCTTCCCACCCCAGCTTATCTATCCTGTATTGCTCACTCAAAACATGTTTTAAATGAAAAGTCAACGAAAATCCTTTTGTATTTATCTAATTTCTGGCTTTTATGTTTTAATTTGTATAACGTCTTACCTGGCGTAATCTCCTTTGGCCTCCTAAAAAGGGAAAATAATGCAGTTACTAAAAGCATTATAAGAAAATGCAATACTTGCTAAAAGTTGCCTACTATGCTAATGTTAGCTACCTGCACAAGCTGTACAAAGGTAACGTTACACGATTGACCATCAGCACATTTAATTTGACTGCATTTTAATTTCTCTAATAAATCGGGCAAACACAGACTCAATTTAGATCGCAACACCGATATAAAAGGGTCGGTTTCTTTAACAATAGCTCCGTGTAAAGCAAACTCAAGGGACAACTGTTTTCAAATGTTGCGTGCCCCGAGCGTCTTCATTTACATTTAGGGGTGAGTGACAAAATTTCAGTGTAGAAAGCCTGCGACAAACTCTTACCTGCAATGCGAATGCGGCTAATTTGAAAACATTTCCACTCTCCACTTCGATGGTCTCCTGGTGTAAACAAAAAAAAACGGCAGGGTTTTTAAAAAACACACACGCACAACAAAGTGCAGCCTGTCCGACACACTTGACTTGAGAGAAAATCTTCCCGTCCCGTACCTCGGTCCCACCGTTACCGACTGAACCACTGCCGCAGAGGCTTTTCGGTGCTTGAAACTGTCCGTGAAGTGTATTTAATTCTGTTTATCAGCACTTGAGTTATCGTGACGTTTTCTTTAGCCAACAAAACGCACACTTGTACATAGAAAGCATAGTTGAATGTCCGGTCTGAAGCTACAGTCCCCTGTGCAAAGTGGTACGGTCCAAAAGCAGGTTCAACAGTCTCCGTCTCCCATGGTGACCAGTCTGCTCTCCCCGCGAAAAAAAAAACTGCACTGCAACGTTTGGTCACATGCTGCATTCACATGCTCCCCCTACGGTTGGGACGGTTCAAAAACTCCGTGTAAAGCAACTTCCTCTCAATGTGACCCAAGTTATCAAATTGTTTATGGGAAACATTTGGAATCACTGGTCCTGGTACAACTCTCATACGAATTATTGGAGTTAGTTGAACTTTTTCACGCTATATATAATAATAATGAACTCATCACGCTCAAGCCCAAAAACTCTTGAAAGCAGCATTGAAAGCAGCAGTGTGAGATCTAGAGAATTTCAAAAGTGTAATGTTGCATAAATAGCATGCTGTCGGTCAAATATTATAACAAAAATTCAGTATAGAGATAAAAGGACAGAGTATGAAATCATGAAAATAAAGAAATGTAGCCTTATAGTATTCTTATGCTATTTACTAAAACAACGGACATTTAAAATGTTGCTTTAGTCTTGTTTATAGCCTATCATTATGCTCATAGTATGAACAATATATGTCCAACATTATAATGATCTGACCATCAATCCCGAGCTGAATGAAATCTGTTTCTTAAGAGTCTGTTACCATTTAGAATGATGGTAGATCAATAATTGGATTAGGCATTGACCATCACCTCAAAAAGCAATCAATTATTGTGTGCAATGATCTAGGACAAAGATACATGCCAAATTTCTAGGATACAAAAATAAATATAGTTATGAGACAGGTTTTTAGAAAATAAATGCTTAAAAACACTTACATTAAACACTAAAGATTTAGCGTTCAGGAAGAACAGCTCCACTGTTGTGTTGTCTTTCAGGAAGGTGATCTTCTCAATATAAAACCTGTGAAGAGTTTTTTTTTGGGGTCAGCAAGATTAACTTGAAATAGACTGTCAGTGCATTTTGCCTGTGCCTCAACATTATTCACAAACTTCATAATGTTCAATATAGCCTACTCTAATTTGGCAGTCACACAGCAAGACTCAGGCTGTGTTCCATCACTGCCACCTGCTGGTCAAGAGAAGCCTTGGAGGCCACGAAGGTCTCAATACACCAACTTACTTCAAATAAAGTCTCTAATATACACAACTCAATCTAATGTACAACACTGAGATTTTCAATGGTTAGTATCTGATAAGGCACAAAAGTATCCCATGAATTTCAGCAAGAGCACTCACCTCACAAGGAACTTGAGCTCCAAAGGCCCTGAAGTCTTGGAGAAGTCATGATCAAGGACTTTACGATCCAGCTGGAGCCAGTTATTCTGGCCACTGAGCCGGGGATAAAAGAATAAATCATATGTTGGAACACTGCGATTGTAATTTTTCTCTCTTCTTTCTCCCCCCTCTCTAAAGGCTTCTGTAAACAAGGATTGGTTCTAAATCAACCAATCCCTTTAATTAAAGTAAAATTAAACACAAAAACAGACAAGACACTACCAGAGCACTGCACTTTTTGTCTGTTATGTTAGGAAATGTACTTACGTGTCATCTATGAAGGACAATCCAAAGTATTCTTTCTCCTTCAGGTTAAAATGTGAGGCCACCAGATCTAACAGCTCACGGGACAACAGCTTAGGCTGGAAGGTTTAGATTAAAAAAACAGGAGTTCAGTTGAGATCATTTGTATGCTAACTCAACAGGATCGTGCTACCCAATAAAATAATACATGTGACATTCATAAAACATTTCACTGAAAAACTGACAAATGAAACAGATTAGATCACTTTGGCAAGAAATAAAAGCAACATAGGAGTAAAATTAAGACTAACTTACAATAATGAATCATCATTAAATCCTACACAATTTCAGTGCATCAGCATAATCTTTAGGGTATGCAGTGTAGTTTGTGCCTAATAAGGCCAGCAGAAAGTGTCGACTACCTGAACCAGCAGCTCCAGCTTCCTGCCATCCAGGAGGTGAACCTGGCACAGACGGCCCTCGGTCATCTGCAGGAAGACAGATAACATGAGACATGACCACTCCTGCAAGGCAGCACAGCACTCCACCTCCACCTGTGCCTCTCTACTCAAAGCTGTGCTTCCATTATTTCAGCCCGGGGATAAAATGGCTGCTTCTCTTTCTCTCGTTGAACAGTGACTCACCGCAGTGTCATGTTTGTCTTTGTGTTGAATGAATAGGTAAGAGGAGCTACTGGGCAATTGTTCATATGGGACCCATGCTCCAAAACATCAAAGTCACTGCAAGATCATCAGAATTATTTGTTTAAAAAAGTCCCACAGAGAAATTACAGGCATAAATCAGCTCTTTATAAGTGCACCGTAAGTCATAAACAAAGAGTCTAAGTTTCTTTTGCTAGTAAGAATTCACACACGCTATTGTCTTTATCCCCTCACATGTCCTTCCTCTGCAACAACACTGGTCTAATGAAAATTCCCTGAAATGTCAACAGCCCACGTTTCCCTCTGCCGAAACGAAACCAAAAGACAATGAAGTCCTGGTGCATACTTTAATTGAATTCCCGCTGTATTGTCTAAGATGAATGGCTGTAAGATTCATTATGTTGCAGTCAGCAAAGAAGTGCCTTTCAGTGCAGGGCAAGGTAGAAATGTTATTGTTTGGTGATGAATATTAGCCAAGCCATATTCCAGTGGGTTAAGCAGCTGCCGACATTCAGCCTCATATTCTGATATTTCAAAACATTTCTTAATTCCTCAGTACAAATTCTGATGATATGGTGTACATATAAAGTGTAATCTCTGTTGGTGTAATCTTAATATTCCAGTAGTCATCATCCTAAATAATGTAGGAATTGATGTAGCATTATGGACTGTGGCATTATTTTATTTATTTCTATGTGCTCGCACAGTTCGTGCCTTATGCAAGTGTCGACACAAGAGTTGTTCAGTGCAGAAAAACCCACTTTGCCACCTATATTTAATCAGTCCTTTTGTAGGTGAGGTTATATTAAGTACCAAACTAAACATTCTCATGTTGAAGAAATCGTTCAACATTTGAGAAATGTTCTATATTGCTTTCTCACCTAGAGGTAGATGAGAAGATTGATACCACTCTCATGTCTGTGCTGCAGTAGGTAACTTTAATAAAAGTAACTACACAAGAAGAAGCCAGAGGAACCTGTTTTTTTCACAGATTATCATTATTATTTTAGCTAATATGACAAAAAGTTAGTTTTATAAAAATTACCTACTGCTGGGTTATTATAAAGCTATCACAAGCCTCCAACAAATAACATGTACACAGCAATATCTACTGTATCTGAAGTTTGCTAATATTAGCCACCATAAGTTATACTGGTCACACCAAATCAAGTAAGGCTGAGTGTATTGAACTGGGCAAGTCAACATTTAATTTGTATTATTTCTTCTTTCAGAGGTTACATAGTCTCAGTATAAAAAGCTTGAGGTCATTTACCAAATCCTTTATTGAATACCACACCACCAACTCAAGTGGGTAAAGGCGAGGTCTGATTGAGCACAACAGAGTAAATCCACATAATTAAAGCTACTATATGTATTTTTAAGTCCCTGACTTTGGTGCCCCAAGTGGCAGGATGAGAAATGAGACAGTGGCAAACAGCAGTGCAGGCCAGTACCCTGTTTTATTTACTAACAAAATAATATCCCTTATCTCATAAAAAGATGTAATGTGAAAGACGCTATATTATCTCATTGAAATTCTATACATTGTGGCTTTAATGCAATAAAAATGTACTTTTATTGGTTGGGAAATCAATGTAGAGTCAGAAAGAGCAGTATTTTACTACGGTTTGAGCTCAGTGACGCCTAAATGCCAAAACTGTGTGTTCCTGTTGACTGGATGCTGTTTGCTGCCCAGGAATGTGTCCTGGGTGTCTTTTATTTCTGTGACCTCAGTGAAAAACATGTGGCATCCAACTGCTTGGCCTCTGCGGTGGAAAGTCAGGGTCATGTTAGCGTGGCCACAGGGCGGGAAGGCACTTTCTGGCGTGGTGTGAAACTTCAGTCCGCCAGGACATATTGTTCTTTGCACCACAACAGAGCTGTCATTTCACTTTTATACTATAAAGTCTACTTTTCCACTTTGTTGTTTTTCAACGCCCTAAACCTCAGTGAGATTCACGGTGCAGTGGCTAAAGCTGTACTTGTCAACAAAAGGGTTTCATTTGCAGTCACGGTAACTTACTATTATACTAACTTCGGATTTCAACACCATACCCACTCCTACTACTGTCTGATATGAGCTGCACAGCAGGACCTTTATTTAAGCTCCATATCTCAGTGGTCCAGAAGAGGCAAGAATCTAGGAAAAATAAAGTACTGAAGCTTACCTCAATGAAAACCACAACCTTATTTGATGTGTCTTGATAGGGAAAACAATTGTGGCTGTTAATTACAACGTTCCATAGATTAATCTAGGATTAATCACTATAGTAACCCTTTCATTAATTGTTGTGGCTGTCCAGGGCACAATCCTCTCAAGAGCCCATCTATCAATGCTGCATTGTTGCAAGGCAGTGACATCAAAACATGGAGAAACAGACAAAGGGCTTTAGCGGTCTGATTTTAAGCTCATAGCCAGCTATTGGATTTTAGATTCACCTTCAAGATGAATGTTACTCCAAATCTCTTCTTTTTTGTCTTTTCTCCAAATCCTAATGCTCAACCACTTTTAAAAGAATTCATAAAACCTTAAACGAATTCACCCCCTTTGAAGATGTAGTGTATTTGATATGGAGATACTATAGAATATACTATTGCATGAACAAAGTAGCACTGGAAAAGCTGCCAGTGCTGAACAGAGGACCTGAGCTTCGGAGCGAGGTCTCCAATGATGAAAAGAAAGGTCATGACTGTGTCAGACAGGTCATCCCCCTGAAGCCCTGTCATTATGGGCAGAGGGCCCCTGATGGTGCTCTCTTCACATGACCCCCAGCAACACTGACCTACTCAGCCCGAGCTGGGCCCACCCTGCAGCTCTAACCACATCTACAACCCAACGCTTCACCCGTTGACCATAAGTAACCACAAGCTGAGTGGGAAATACTTGTATCCGCAGTGGTAGAAAGTAACTAATTACATTTACTCAAATGCTGTACACTTTACTTGTGTATTTCCATTTCATGCTCCTTCATACTTCTTCTCTGCTGCATTTCAGAAGGAAATGTTATACTTTTTACAACATTTATTTAACAGCTTTCACAAGTTACTTTTCTGATTAGGATTTAACAAATGAAACATATGATTGGTTTATAAAATATTACGCATTGTTATAGTTAAAAGTAGCTCCACCTCAACCAACTACAACATGAATGTAGTGCTTACATGTTAATGCATTTATAATAATGATCCGGTAAGATAATAATATAAAACAGACAGGGGCCATTCTGCATAACGAGTACTATTACTTTTGATTCTTTGAGCATACTGTGTTGTTACCTCTGTACTTTTTGATGAGTGAAATTAGGAATTTCACTTGTAATAGGGTTTTTTCAGTAAATGTTCTGAATACTTCCAATACTGCATATGTGATTCTGAAGTGGAAAAAAAACAATATTCCGGTATGTGGTTTAAAAGGTAAGCAGATCTGATACTTGCGTCACTTCTGAGAACTCTTTTAAAGAGAAGGCAAGATCCTCAGATGACATACACTGATGAGTATCAGGTGTATGTGCTTTTAAAGGGTACTGCCTAACTGAGAGAACTTCTCGGAATAGTGTAATTTCGTGTCACCTTTATACCTTGTTTCAAGAACTGAGGAACTAGTAACTAGCAACTAGTATTATCAAGATGATGATGATGTCTATTCTCGTAAATGTAATTTCTTTACTATAAAGCCCTTGAGTTGCATTTCTTGTATGAAAGCTAAAAATAGTTTAAGTTTAAGTTTATTATTACTATTATTACTACTACTATTACTACTATTATTATGAATTAGTATCTGTTATGGAAAAATAGTCTTTAACATAAAAGTCCCAAAAGCCATCTAATACAAATAAAAAACCTTTCCACAAATATGCCAGGAAAATGCAAAAAAGAAGAACCTGAACACTCTTCAAGTTTACACAGAGGACATGCAGGTAAGATGTGTTAACCACACACTGTGTTCAGGTGTTCCGGCAACAATGCATTTCAAAGACAACTTTGAAAGTTCTCCTCTTCAGCCAGACAGTGAGATCAAACGGCTGGTCATGCTGCTTTCTAATGACTGCCATATGCACTGGGAGGGAGAGACCCTTGTTAAAAACAGGCTTTGTGACTCTCCAAGAGGCAGCCTGTGTGCTTCCTCACACTCACACAAATAAACATGTGCATACACTAATGAGCCAGATGAGAAAAACTACTGACTCACTTCACTCGGAGGGAAAGTTGAAGGGAGTAAATAGGTAATATAACCCGTAAAAATCCAATGGCTAATGAAAGAAATCCATCTGGCACTGGCACAGTAACCATTTACATATGCTGTCAATAAAGCAATCAATAAAACCTGCTATATTCAAACTCTTCTTTCCTTTTCCATTTATGCTGCCATACCTTAAGGAGCTGTCATACCTGGTAGCATTTTCCAATCCTGAACCAGGCTTCTAGGAAGCGTCTGCATGGCATCAGCCCACGATTGTACCACCTCCTCAAGGTCTGATGTGCCAGGCTCCAGACGATCTGGCTGCCCGAAGCCACCAGGTCTTCCATTCCACGAATGATGCGCACAGCCATGGTTAGCTGCCTTTTCTCCCTGACAGCCAGTTCCTGCCTCTACTGATGAAACCTCACAGCCACCTCCCAGAACCAGGATAAAAGATGGATCTGCAGGCCACTTTGTTTTGCTTCAGAGCAACAAGCTGAAAGGAGCATCTACACTCCCGCACACACACACACACACACACACACACACAAAGTCTACTGTGTCTCCCCAGCTGATGTAATGTTAGTGAGAGTCGGCGCTCTGGAGAGGCTGGAGCGGAGCAGCGTGCCTCAGGCTTGGTCCTGGGCCCCGGTCCAAAACACTGCCTCATAGAGTGCAGGGGAGGGCAGGACAGAACCATGAGGCCCCTGCTGCAGAGACTCCATCTCCCCTCTACATAAACACACTTGTATACAAACACAATGTACATGGAAACAAACTCCGGCGGGCCACTCAACCTTTAAAGTCATAAAAACTTTCCTCACTGACTCACAGTAAAATAATGGTGAAAAGGTTTTGTTTTGCTGGTCCAGGCTGTGATTTTTCTCTTCTGTAAAATAAAGATTACAAAGTTAAATTGCACCAAAATATGTTCCTTTTCAGTTTTGCTGATGACTTCATCTTTTATTTCATTGTTTTATTTCAGCCCTTATTTCAGTTTCATTGTCTGAAAACGGGTGTGGGAATGGTCACTTTGTCTGGGATGTGGAAGCTATTTCCTGGCGAGACCAGACATCTCCACCCATTATGTTCTGCAGGAACACTAAAAATAATTGGTCCTGTGTGGATCAGCAGGGATGGCAGAACTGACAGCGCAAAAACTAAAAGTGAAACTGTGGGGAAAAAACATTTAGAAAGGCTTTTATGTGAAAATGTAGAAGCGCTTGTGAGTCACAACCAGACATGTTCCTTTGTATAGAGCTGCAATTAATAAGCAAATGTTGCACACAGGCTGTACACCTGACTCAGATAAGTCAGACAATACTAAGAAAAGCAACACAGAAGAAAAAGAAGATGTGGAACAGCTCTCAGCGGAGACGTGTTGCAGTTAATCTGGAAACAATATCCTGCCGTTTGTTTACGTGACCTCAGTTTCCACGAACGCTTAAGTATCCACAGTCAACATGTGCTGTTTCATTGAACATGATGACCGTAATTGTCTCAGAGCAGGCACACTGTAACCTCTATATCTGCAGTAATAGCACAGAGAATGGTGTAGACTAAGAAGCAGAACTGTTACTGAAATTTGTATCAATAATTCCCAAAAACATGGCAAGGAAAGTAAATAAGTGATGTTTTCTGCCTCATCAACTATTACTGAGGAGGCAGTGGAGCTGCTCAGACAGTGGCAAACAGTTTCCCAGTTACAGATTTTTCCCTATGTGCTCAGTCACATTATGCTATACAAATAAACAATAAACAAAATCTTAGTGGTGCATGTAAGCATTAATCTGCTGCAGAGCATACATGTTGAAAATGAACATAACCATTACCACGCCTATGCAGGCAGTGACCTGGCTATACTGAGCACTAGAAGCAGCTGTGACATTGGGTTTTATGAAAAAAGGGAGCATGAGCAATTCTCAAAGAAGAATATGAATTAATCTTCATCCAGGCACAAACAGATCCATATACTGTACTGTACTCTCAAAGAAATAGTTCACTTTGTGCAATAGCCTTTTGTGCTATCTTGCCAAGAGTTAGATAAGATTGATACCACTCTCATGTCGATACATTAAATACGGAGCCAAGAGTCAGTTAGAGTGGAAACAGGTGGAACCAGCCAGGCTCTGTCTAGAGGTAAAAATCTCCCCTACCATCACCTTTAAAGCTCACTAGTTAACATAGCACACTAACAATAACATTAACATAGCATATCCAATCCCTCCAGCATTCTGCTGTTGGGGGTGCAACAATCCCCCAAAAAGCCTGATTTCACGGCAGCTTTTCTTTGTGTTGTTTTAAGCTTTTCTTTTGCACAGAAATTGTGTGAGAAAATGAAAATTTTAGTAGTTTGGGGACGTATGGCTCAGTGAGACTGCTATGATTAGTGAAACTCACAGGAAACAATAATGATTGGTCACATTTGCAGAAAAGTTGCAGTGGTTGGACAAAATTGCAAGGTTGTGCAGAATTGAATTTGCGTTTGTTGTTGGGATCGCATCAATCGATTAAGAAGAACTAAAATTAGGCTATAAACGGCAAGCTACTGTAGCTCACACTGATGAAAAAGTTAATGCTGGTTCTAATAGAAAGGTGTCAGAACAAAGTGCATCACAGTTTGTTGGTATGGGGCTGCAGAACATTATGACCACCAAGGTGCTCAGATTGTTATGGCTGTTTCTTTTGGTTGCCTATTAATGGCATCATATCTTCCCCCCCCTTTTTTTTTTATACCCCCGAGGAAAGGGGAAAAAAAAAGGAAATTTTTTTTAAAAAAGGGGGAAGGAAGTCAGCAAGCATGACTAAATGTTATGTGAATAAAACTTTAACATTAGCTTGTCTGTGAACTTGACACAAAGATAGATTTTCATTGGCACTGAATGTAAACACAGAGCTTTTTTTTCTCTTTGACAATTCCAACAAGGTTTATTCAAACAAGACAACCGCATCCTTAACAGTGTTGACAAAACAGAAAGTACAAGGAAAAAAGAGAAATATGGAGCAATAGATGGCTGAAAGATTGAGACTTTGATCTGTCTGTTCTGCAGTAAAGATCAGTCTTATAACAGCAGTCTCGAGACTACAGTTATAACCACAATATGTAAAATACTACTCTAATAATATTAAAACAAGCTCACTACAATTTATGTCAGATCTATTGACAGCAGCCATGTGGGAATTTGATCGTTGATCATGCAATTAATCAGGCGTCGTGGCCCCTCCTCAAACTGTGCGTTAAAGGACAACAAATCTTGCAGAACCAATTCTAAAATTAGTTGGGGGTAACCAATTCTAAAGGTGGATCTGTTATCAATAGCCAGAGCCAAGCTAGCTGTTTCCCTATTTATGCTAAGCTAATCTAACGTACTGCTGGCTGTAGATTCATTGTTACTGTATGGACGTGAGTGTAATATCAATCTTCATCCAATTCTCTGCAAGGAAACGTGCACATAGCCTGTATTTTCCAAAATGTCAAATGATTCCTTTAACTATATTGAAGCTGACTGTGGTTGTTGGCAGTGAATAGCCTGGTACATTGATATTCTACGCTTCTTTACATATACTGGAGGCTGTCTGGCTGTCTAGCAGAAATTCAAATAAACATGAGAATAATAGTACAGCGTTTAACCACAAATAATACTGACACAGCAAACGTGCTGTTACTATACCATTGTAAAGAAACAATTTAATTCCTGTCCTGTCAGTTAAAGCCTTTTTGGGGCATAAAAATGTCCTAACAGGATTACATACTATTGATGCTGTAATCCACCACTGCATAAACTGGATGGATCTGTTTCTAGAGGGCAGGATTCATCATCAGAGACCCATTCGCAAGGTATAGATTCACCGTAACCAGCTAACCATGATAAACACGGACAGATGCGCAAAGCCACAGCTGCCTGGAGCGACAACGGGCGAGACAGCCAAACATATGGTGGACACAAGCCGCTGTTGATCACCCACATGATCGCCACGTGTGTAAAGTAGAGCAGCGTGTTCTGGTCCACATAATGTTAATAAATACAGGGTTTTTGATGCATCTGCCAGCAGAGAATTTCTGTAAAATATCTGTACAAATATCTGCCAACATTCCACTTGTAGGATCATTTTGATCAAGAAAAGTTTCATTTGGAAATATGCAATTAACATTTAATTACAAGTAATGTTTTAGGAGTACAAAATACATCAGATAACTTAAGTACAGTCTATGCAGGGCAGTCAACCAAAACAAACACAAAGAGTGGTTATATTTCGATGTAAGGGCATGCAGGGATTGTCTCTAGAGCTACGCACACTTCCTGTGAAAACACACTTGCATTCACACATATGCCAAATGGCTGCAGGCAGCAGATAATCCCTGTTGATTTCCACGCTCTATACTGGGGTTTCGGTGGGGTGAAGACGTAGGAAGGGGTAATGACCTCAACTAGAATCAATCTCTGGGAGTCTATGCTCAGAGAGGGCACCCCAGGGGAAAGTGTGAATTAACTGTCTGGGCTAACTGTGAGAGATGTCTACAATAAGCAGTTTATCTGATCCTTGAGTCTGTTAACAAGTGTCCATGTCTCATCACTCTCTCATATAGCATATTTTACTAATAATACATGTATGTATCATTATCATGCATACCTTCTCATTTAAACCCTCATTATCTGATTGTTTGGCCACTTGGGGGAAGTGGAACAACACCTATTATCACCTTGATTGATATGACAAACATGTTAACTAACAGTTGCACATCCAGTAGACATGCAGCAACATTAGCATTCATTTGGAGTTGTGTTTCTGTCCACTAGTCAAGTCCTATATTCAGTCTCCTTTTAGCTCTGTTTTGGTCTCCACCAACTCTTGTGGAAAATATCTGGGTCTTTAGCAGCTTAATTCTCCACTGTGTTTACTAGCCACTCACTACCTCTGACTAATAAACAGGCTAGTGGTGACAGTGAACTATAACAGTAAAGTTATTCTTCTCTGTGGCCAGCTGACAAAGTCCAATATTCACTCTCCTTTTCTGCCACCTAATTCACCACTATGTTCACCAGCTAACTTTGCTAACAATTGGGCAAGTAGAGTAAAGCTTTTATTTGAAACTCTTTTTAAAAAAAAAAAAACAGTGTTTTGGGGAATTTGGAAAACAGTTTGATGAGGGGGCTGAGAGTGAAACAGACCAGTAACTATGTGGGGCTTTAAACCAAAACAATGAGCTGAAAGATGCTAAAATGCTCCATAGAACTAAGGGGAACTGCAAAGTCAGGTGATAATTCTCTGTAGATATCTCTATACCTATAGGTGTCAAAACTGTAATAACACTATGAGCAACCCCTTTACATTACACAGTCATTTGATCCATTGTTGTTATTGAAATATTTATGACAGCAGCTTTAAACTTTAGGTATTACTGT